GCAAAGCCAACGCAGATCTCCTCTGCCTTGATGCGTTGCAGTAACACATCAGCTGCTTGTTATGTGCCTCTTCAGCGGAGACTTCGAAGAACAGTTTACTCGTGCGGCTGGGCCGCTGTCTAGGATCGCTGCGCCAAGGTTTGCGAACTCAGCCCTGCTCAGAGCGCTCCCGAGCAGCCTTCGACGGACGGTCCCATGGTCGCACCGGCGATCAAGATCTTGTCATATCCTGTCCTTTCCTTTTCGCGTGCCTAGCGGGCCTAGCGCCGCCCTGATCTGAACTAACAGCCGAGGCTGGCTGTCTCCGGTGTGTGACTTGTCACAAGCTAGCTGCTGAAGTTCGTTGTCATGTGGGTGTAGCGTGCAGCTGTGCCGCGCTTCAAGTCGTCTTGCACTCGCTTCGACCAGCAATCTAGCGACTGCACAGGCCTTGTGGGGGTTTATGGGGGTTTGCTCTGGGTCAGCTTGGGCCTGCCGGCGAGGTGAAGCTCTGAAGCTGCAAGCGAAGCGCAAAGGCCACGCCTCTTGGAGAATTTGGCTCCCATGTGTAGGGAAGGAAAGGGATTCAGCGGCCGAGAGACTTACATCCTGGCGATGTATCTGAAGAAGGTTTGGTGCAGACGCAAGTTTGATCGAAGCAGGCCTGGCAAGCTGCACCCACTTCCACGAGGGGCTGCATTGCATCCTCCAGAAAGAGCACACCTCCGTGCGAGACAGGGACTGAGGAAGTGAGTTTGCTCTCAGTGAGACAGTGCCGGTTTGCAGAACTTGAGCGCATCGTGTGGATCCCGCCTCTTTCTGTAGAACAGCCCGCTCGTGCCGAACCAAGGAGAAGATGGACCAATGCCGAGCATTGTTTGTCAACTGCACCTTGGCGATGATCCCAAAGCCCCAAAGCCCTTGATACACCTTCTCGCAGACTGTTCAGGCAGTTGTGTGCCCGAACAGGCCGCAGGAACAAATGCGATAGAAACCGGCAAGCCGAATCAGAAAGCACGACATGGCGTGCATGCAGCTCTGCACAGGGCAGCGGCATCGGCTAAAAGCCGCCATTTTGCGCATGGTATCCTGTATCATGCTCGGTTCGTGGTGTAGACGCTTGAGAAGATCAAGTGTGTTTGGTTACATGGGACATAGTTTCATGCGAACGTGAGGTGTGGATGAGCTGGTGGATGGGCTGGAGGTCGGTCGTGTCGTGAAAGGCTTACAGGCGTGCTTTCAGTGGTATCAGAGGCTGCCGAAGCAGGCTGGATTGTTCTTTGCTTCCCCGGGCGTACAACATCACGGTGAGGTTGAATTCCGGAAGGGCAATTAGTGTGTGAGGCTGAACCATTGACCGGCCAACTCAGCATGTCCATCTGTGCTGTGCGCACAGTATGGCTCAGTGCTCGCTCAACTAAGTAACCCTTGACCCTTGGAGGCCGTTGTGGACATGGCGGGAGCATGTTCCGCACTTATGGCCGGCCATCCCAGCTGTTGGATTGAGCACAGCTAGGAGCTGCAAGGAGTTCGGGGCTGTGTGCTTAAAGCTCATCCGAGTGACAATGAAGAAACCCGCCAACGCTACTGGCGACCTTGCTCCACCTTGCCTGAGCCGTATCGCCGTATCGACGATTGAGGCGTTGTGGACCAAAGCAGAGATGACTCCCGACAGCATGCTGCAAATGGCACCGAACCTCGGCATGAGCAGCATAGAATGGAGTCGAATGCATGTCAAGTTGGCCCATACCCCTGATTCACTGTCCATAGACCATATAGACACTGGATACCCCTGCGCCTGTTTCTGACAGCATCTTGTGGTCATGCAAGCAGGTAGGGTAATCCCGCGTCATGTTTGTCGGTTGCTTGTGGCCTTGAGGATTCTGGTCCTGATTACCCTGGCGGCTGGTGAAGCACTTCGCCCGTGCTCGCCGGCCGTTCAGTCTCCCTGAAGCACTGAGTGCTCGGGAAATAGGCCGTGTGGTCACTGATTCCCTACCGTTTGTCCTGCGGCGCCCGCGGTCGCAGTTCGACATGCGAAAGGACACAGCGCGGGAATTGTCGTGCAGGTCGAGGAAGAAAGTCAGCGAGCTGGACTGTTTGAAGCAGTTGGTGTACAGTGCTTCATCGGCCAGGCGATAAAGATTTTAGGGCCTGTGGTTTGCATCTGTTTAATCTGTTTCTCAGGCTATGCAAAGGACTCAGCACCTGATGCTTCACGTTGTAAAATCTCGACTGCATGAATTTTGTGCACCATGGTCCGTCTAAGCACAGCCATGGTGTTGAGGCTGTGCACTGTGCGCCCTCTAGCCCGAAAAGGATCTTAGGCGAGGCACCGTATTTGCAACAGCGTCAACCTGCCGGTGCCAGTCTCTGTGGCTTTTGGCATTTTGACGGCTCGTCACAGCCCCATCTCCATCTGTTCTGAGATGATGGGTGAAACGTGAGGGCCAATATCGGGCTTCCCGGTGGTTCCTGCAGGTAAACCCTGACCTGCTCTTGGCACTGATGGACCTTCCAGGTCCCCATGCGTTGCTTCCTTACGAGCTGTGTATGAAGTTAACTAGGAACCCTCCCAAGCACTGCGCTAGATCATTCAATGAAACACCTTTCGGGCCAGATGTCAAACGGCGTTGTTGACGACTAGCGGCTTGCCACGAGGATGCTGGCAGAGTGGCAAATGCATTGCAGTCTAGTTGCCACGGGGATGGTGGCAAGGTAGCCTACCGAGACTTTGGATCAGGTCTGTGCCAAATTGATTCGCAGTTTGCCTGCAAACTGCAGCCGTTGGCTGTTGCACTGGCAATTAGCACAGCAGGCAGTGCCTTAAAGCGGCATGCAAGGCCCGAAGCATACGATGCGGTGGCAGGGAGACGCACCATGATCAGGCTGAAGCTGCCCCACTCAGTATCTGATCTTCTGCACAGCTTCGTGCACCCCAATCTATGTAGACCCCGACATGGGTGCACGAGCGATCGGCTTGAGCAGAATTAGGAACTTTGACGGCGCTTGTGCGCTAAGTTGCCTCCTTGCGGCCACTTGTTTGCTGAGGGTTCCTGTCGACTTTATGGATTCTGCCCAGCACGTTGCGGCCATGCCTGAGTTTCTGGTCAACCTGACGAACAGACAGCTGGAGTTAAAGATGTCAACTCGATCCGGTGGTAGAGAAAGCGAGCTGTGCAGAAGCTGGAATGTTCCGTGCACCGCTCCAGCTCTGTTTTCCGCTGGGCCCTCCCGACTAGCAGCTTGAAAAACAGTAACTGTCCAAGCTGCCAAGTCTCTTAGACTAGCCGGCTTTCTGCTAGATCTTCTCGGTCATGACAAACAAGATTCCAGTGGTTAGCCAGCCGCAGCCTTGTTTCAGCATGTCATGTGGGCTGTTTAGGATCATGAAGATCAGGCTGAAAGCGGGTGAAGGTTGGGGCATACGCCATTTTGCCAACAACTGCGCCTAAAAGGCTCGGTATCATCAGTTTACTGAGGAATGGCTGTTGTTTTGTTTTCTTGGCAATTCCTGAAGTCTTGTGATCCAGCTCCTCAACTCTAGCTGACCTTGTGGACCAGGAACCGTTGACACACGGGCCCTGCAGGCAGCCAGTGCTCAACCTTAACCTTGTAAGTTATGCTGCCACTACCATGCCCAGTACACGGACATCTTTGCCTCACTGTTGCCAGAAGGAGCCATACCCTTGAATTGACTTGTGGAGGCTTTGATGAATCGTCAGAAAATGCCGTTTCAGCGACCTCCCCCGTTTTGCATGTAGATTTCCGCCTTCTCTCGGCTCTTGTAAAGATGCTGCTCAGGCTGGGTGCTCGATCCGAGGTTTAGACCTGTTCCAACGGAAGATGGAGACTGTAAGCGGTAAGCCCGGAACCAAGTCTGACAGCTATATTTGCCATACCTTTCAGGCAAGCAGAACACAAATGCTCGCTTCACCACGTAGCCCTTGTGCGGTTTCTGAACCGCGGCTGTCCAGCACCCAGGTTGAATGCCGATAGGGTACCTTGAACATCCGGCAGCTGCGCAGGTGAGAATGTGACTGCGTCTGCTTGATGTGCTTTTCCTGACGTGACTCGGCCCGCGTGCACTGTAATCGATGAGTAAGCAAACCAAGAGCAGCCGTCAGCACCTGCTTTCTGTCAGACGAGGGCGAGCTGGGAAAGACGTTTGCACAGAGCTGACGCCCCCCAGCACAAAGTCCACGACCAATTGCTCGAGCAGTGAAAGCTTTCTGGCACTTTGTCGTGCTAGCTTGAATGCATACATTTGGCTGCGGCCGAGAGGACGTGGACACTTAGTTAGAGAAGACACTATCTACGCTGCAATTTGGGTTACGGTGCGCTGCACCCTCTTTTTTGAGTTGCTGGTCCTTTCCCCAGTATTGAACACCGAGCCCGACTGCAATGCCATGGCCTGCATCATGAATGGCAGAGAAAATGGTTACAGTAGCTGTTTCATCGTTGGCTTTGGTGTTGCACAGCAGCATGATGGGGGTAGCCTGAGTTGATGTATGTATCGTACATGCTCCCTGCGGGGACGTGTCCGTGTCTTCATGCGGCCACACGCGCCTACCTGAATCACTCGATTGCCAGTTGCACGAGGAGGCGCAGAGAGATCTTGCAAACGTCGCGCACCAGCTAGGATGGGCGCATCAGCATTCCACGCAAGACAGGCCAAACTCTTGCAGCTGCAGTTTGAGCAGAGAAGTGTTCGGGGGGATGCGATGCTCTGCGTCAGCCGATGGCCTGCCATCCACGCACCGTTTCCCCAGTTGCATATGCAACCCGCTTGACAAGTAGGGTTCAGGCCAGATGGTGGACATTGAGCTTTTGGTCATGCTGCAAACCTACAAACTCACCTTGCAGTTGCTGCACCGGCAAAAGGGCGCGACTTTCGTTTGTTGATCTCTTGGAGCCGTGTGCAGCCCGGAGTCGGCAGTGGTCGACCCTCCATTATGTCCTCCTGGCCCAAAAAGGCGTATAAGTCCAGGACTCTGACCTTCCCGTCTCCCTGCCGCGAGGCCTTTTCCAAGAGTCCTCGTGGCTCCGGCGGAGGGCCAGGCCAGGCGCTCTCCGATCTGTGACGCTCTGCCCTCTGCGAGTACAGGCAAGTCACCTTTTGTGAAGTTCAAGGGTTTGTTCAAGGTTAATGGGATTGGAACTGAAAGCAAGAAGGGCAGTTTAGCACGAAAGGTGCCAAAGCTGCAGGCACCTTTGTGCATGCACACCGACTCCGCTCAAGCTGTCGGCGTGGCCTCAGGCGAGGCATTGGCTTGAGCCTGCCTGCGATGGGGTTCTCGAGCTGCGCTTCGGGTCGGAGACCAGATGACGAAACACGAAATCGTGCGGCCATGCCTTGTTGCATCGCCTGCAGAAGTAGGCATTTGCTGGATGGAGTGTGGCTTGTTGAATGATTTGGATGTTGCGGGATGCGTCGCCTCGGTGCAGGCACCCCGAAGCGGACCTTCGCTGCAAGTGTTTCTGCCCTGAAAGGCACCGTGTGGCAACCTGTCCAAGCTGGAGTTCTGCCCGGCACCAAAATTGGTCTGTTGTGCATTGTGCCAATGACGTTCGGAAGTAGGTTGTTCAACGGCTTGTTTTTGCACATTTCTGCGACATGGAATTGTGTAACGCCGAGCCGAGCGAGGTGTAGAGTTTGTCGAGCGTAGATCGCTGAGCACGTTCTGAGGACGGCTCGAGGTGTTCCAGTGCAAAAGGAGTGCACCCAGCCGAATCGAGGCCGAGTGGAACGATTCACAGGGCATCCCAGGTCTCAGGCCTTCAGAACGTGAGCACCTCCTCCTTGCTGTGGGCCCGTAAGAGTTGGAGCCTTGACAGGGCAGCGTCAATGCCAAACCGATGCATCATGTCCAGGGCTGTCGCCAGTGCCGATGCGCTTTCGCAGCTTGGTCGTTCCTGCCGCAACACACCATCCTGCTCAAGGCACCCGAGATGTGTGTTCTGTAAGCCACTTGATTTGGGCTTGGGCCAAGTGTGCATTCGCCGAGTGCCGTTGGTGCGCTTAGACGTCGCAGGAAGCACAGACTGCCACGTTCAAGCCACGGCCGGAGACAGGAGCTGTGCACTTGTGGGGACTTGTAGCTGATTTTCTGATCAGTCAGGTCCACAGACTGACTCGTGAGACGGACACGCGGTGCTTCTCTGTATATTATCATTCATATTTATCATTCGAATCTTGAGTTAAGTCTTCTTACACAATCCAAGCCCATGTTGAACAAATATCTAAGTACTGGTGAAAGTTCGAGCATGAAGCGACACGGCCCAAACATGCAGTACTCGTACGAAGCATTCCTCTCTGAAGTGTACGAATTTTGACACTGGTCTTTCGGGCATGAGGTTTCAAGCAGAGTGAAGCATGGCCTGGTAGAAGACGGGCTTGTTTATGTGAGTTTCCAGAAGCCAGCCATGAAGCTCCCACGCAGCCGTACGGTGAGTTTTGGCGGTCGGCTTTTCAGCGGAGGAGCCAACACAGGCAGCCTGCCACGCCTGGCGCAGGGGCGCGCGAGATGCCTGGCATCGGCCAGGGCCTGCAGAGTGATCCAGACACTGTTTCGAGAGACACCGAGGGTTGAGGCGGAAGCAGGGCGTGAGGGGTGGCGACGGTGGCGTTAACTTAGTCAGACAAGTACCCCGAAATAGCGAAACAGAGAGATAGACACCTAATGGAGCGTGAAAAGCTCGCACTGCAGTCGGAGCTCTTCTGCACATCGTCAGTGCAATTCTGACGGCTGTGCTTCCCGAGGCCTTGCACGATACCCCCAAGCGGAGAATATGATTCCTGTGTTCAGGCCACGGGAGCGCTGTGGTCAGGTCAGTATGGGAAGACAAGCCTTTCGCCAAGGTTGAATTACGTATTGTAGATACGGCAGACGCCTGTACACGGCACAGCTTGGAAGAGTGGTTTGAGAGACTTTCAAAGTAATTTGCAGGTAGTCGGAGTGTTGAGCAGATCCTGGGGGGCACTGTACTGCTCTAAAGCAGTGGTGTAGTAATAAGTAAAGCGAAAAGCAGTCGACCACAGCCCTTCCTATGCAGGCCGCAGAAGATCGCGAGCCAGTCCGGCTCCGTCCAAGCGCCAGTGTCGCAGCAGGCAAAAGTCCAAACTTCGGCCTTTCTTTGGGGCAAGAAAGAGGAAAGAGGAGAGCCAATAACAGAGAAGGAGAACATCATAAGTGCTTTTTGTGTATCTAGGATTCCGGGTTTCATGGGTTTTGTTTCCACAGTTTCTAACTAACTCATAGACACGCAGCTCTTTCCGAAAGAGTTGGAAGAATTTCTGAAGCCGGGTCTTTGTGTAAATTTTACATACATCCTGGATATTGCTTCTTTTTCTTAGTTCTTTGGAAAGGAGCGGGAGCGTCAAAAGCTCACGACCATTTTGAATGTTTCGCCCCCTCGAGTAAAAGAAAGGGTTGCCAGGCATTCACCTGTCTTGTTTCTTGTGCATCTGAGTGGCGCACGTGTTTACAGCTCGGCAGGTGGAGCTTCTCCGGCAGATGCCAGGCTGGGGCGCATCAGTTCCCTGCATCCCGCGTGCCGCGGCTGTCCGCGGCTCGCCAGGCGGCACACGAGTGCGTGTCTGCAACGAGCCCCTCACGTGCACGTCTGCGCACCTGTCTCGCACGTCACACGTCCCTCGGTTTGGCTTAGCTTAGTTTGGAATCCGTGACACTAAGAGCCCAGCTGCAAAAAGGCACCACCGTAAAGTAAGAGAAGCGCGGACACCAGGAGCAGTGACAGTGACTGTGACAGCGAAAAGCACTCGATCACCAGAATGCCATGTGCCGAGCTCCCTTCTCTCCTGCTTTTGGCTGTCGTTGGAGTCACGTCAATCGAACCTTTGTCCATGGCATGTAGTGCAGCCTCTCTGAGTCTTGCAGCCAAAGACAAGAAACGGGAAGAGGCTCGCCAGTCTACGCCGCGCGGCAGCTGCCACTGTCAGCCTCTCAGCATTCCATCCTATCAACAAGTCATCTGTAATTAGTGAGGGCAGTGATGGCGTTGCCTCCTGCAACGCAATCTGCTACTGGTGAAATTAGAATAATTAGAGTCTTGGGTATCAGTTGCTGACGACTTTCCCGCCGCCGTCATGTGACTTAGGGCTGGCTCCTTCGTCGCGCCAGCTGCAAGGCAAGGGCGGCCGCCAAGCAGGCAAGTCCTTTAAAAGTAAGCCGCCAACATCCCGGAGGCCGATCCTGGAGCCGTGGCCAGGGAGGTGCGACTAGGAATGCTGCAAAATGCTGGGTGCGGTTCGGCGATACACAACCCGTCTTACATCGCCATCAGGCCTGTGCACGAGGTTCCGGTCCCGCAGCGAGCTGTTTCACCAGTTCGGCAGGTTCGTTGGCACGATGCTCAGTGGCAGAGACGACTCGCCTCCACATACGTGACCGGCACACTCGCGGCTGAGGCCCAGGCACCAGGCCGCGGATGCCACAAGGAGTTGTGAAGGTCAGCCAGGCAGGGCACACCCCAGATCTCCTAAGTTCTGGCACCCTTGGCGAGTCAAACGTAGAAGTGGCCGCACAGCTACAGAGCCATGGAGGCCGTGCATCCTTTCAGCTGATGGACGAGATGTTTCCTGACTGAAACAATATCCGCGAAGGTTTCATGTTCGATGCGCTCTACAGCTTGACTGCTTGAGGCCAGTGCCTGAAGTTCCACACAGAGCCGCTTCACCGCTGCGGCCTGCCCGTTGGCCAGCATCCAAGCTGTGGCGGCAGTTGCTATCCCGCTTTCCGCGAGATCTGAGAGATTCCAGCACATGGATGCCGCGAACACTTGCGCCCGTGCCCTTCAACGCAAGCTCGACTCTATAGTCTTTTAGGCGAACGCCTGTCACTCGCAGCCGCTGCTCTAACCGCTACTGAGCGAAGGCTTCACACCGCCGACCCGTCTTTCAGTTGCGACAGCGATGCAGGACAGATTTGGAAATGCCGCGTTGGGGGGCATGCATAGGCACATGTGGTTTGCTAGGCGTGGTGCATGCATCGAAAGCATCCGGTCCGTGACCCGCAGGTCGCGCCAACGGTGAGCGTCCGGAGGAGACGCCACGTGGCTGCAGAAGCGGACTATTCGCTCAAGCACTGTGGAATGGATGAGCGAACCCTCACGCTTGAGCAGTGTCGCTGTTGGCATTGGCAGGCACTGCTAGTTCCATCCATGAACCAGTGAAGTCGCAGGTTCGGGTGCCTGAATAACCTAATCGCGAACTCCTAGTCGACTGCCGAAACATGAATGGGTAGCAAGAAGGTGCTTACAAGGGTCGGAGCAAGAATGGATTGACAATGCAAGAGCCGACTCATTCTCTCTACCTGAGTGGCTCTGTAGCGTTCCGCAGTTTGCCACAAGGTGCTTGCTGGACACACCTCACCCATCTTGCAAGCACTGATTGGCTCGCTGGCACCACCATATGATGCTGCCCACTCCAATAATCCTGCTCGAGAGACAAGCGGAGTGAACATCATGGTCGTTCGAGTACAGAACCTGAAGAACTTACTAACACCCGGACTTGCAGAAAGATTCGGCATCATAACCATTCCCAGACAGCGCTGTGAGGCGATACGTTGGTGTCTTGGCAGCCAAGCAAGCAGGGAACGTTCTACAGTGTATCTGGGTCCCAAATTTCTGCTAGCGGGCGTTGGGGGATCTTGAGTTGAAGCACTGGCTTTGGCATGATTTCTGGCTGGCGGCATCAGTTGAGCTTCCTTCCTCTTTCGCTTAGGTGAACAACGGAGGCATACTTTCGTTGGTGATCAGCAGTTAGGGAGTTCGGGTCTTGGGGTTAAATTTGGCATTTCTTCGAGGTCGCATCGCATCTCACTCTGTCCGGAACATGCGGCAGTTCCTTCAGGTGTGGCACGGCTGGCCGATCATGTTCGCAGATTTCCCCAGACAGTCCAGACGATTTCTGGAGGCTTTGAGCACAGAGTTTGACTGAATTTGGAAGTCCTTTGCCGCACGGGGTGAGTCCGGGCCTGTTCAGGCACGGTGCGCAACGTCACCATGGAGCCTGTGGATGTTCCAAAGAAGTCGTCCACAAAGACCCGGCAGCACGCAACATGCACGACTACGCAAGACAGAAGAGCCTAGTCATCGAGCTGATGGCGGCCCGAAGCAAATCTAACTTGAAACAGTTTGTGCTATGCTGCATGTGAGTAGATCAAATTGGCATCCGAATCAGTATTTACAAAGCAGTTGCGCTTGTTGGTGCGAAGCGTTTTTCGGCTTGAAGAGTGAGGGAGATGACGCAGCGGAATCGCAAGACAGGCGCTCAAGACATGAAGCTTCTGAAAAGGCTCGGCCTGATCAGAAGCCCCAGGCATTCGCAGCTGTTGCACCTGACTCGGCTTGTAGTTTCCATCGCCATGGGGTCCCGCTGCTGTACCCCGGAGCCCGAGCCCATCCCCGGTTCTTACGACCCTGACAGCTGCTCCGCGATGGTGCCGCTTTGTCTGCAGATGTGTGAAGTGCCCCCCTGGCAGAAGAGTCTTGTATGCTGTACAGTGTACAGATCTGGCCCAGGCACCCATGTCTATTCCCGATGTACGTGGTGAAGGCTACCGGGAAAGGAGCTTGATCATGGTTTGGGTCAATCTCTACTGCGCTTGAGGCAGTGGTTGTGCTGCAGCATATTCATGCAAACACTGGTTATATAGGTCGGTGCATCATATCCGCCACGATGTCGTATGGCAAAAGCACGGTGAGTAGTGACTGCCGTGCTGCAGAGTATGCGGGAGGAAATCAATCATTGCAGCACATGCAGCACAGGCGCGATCTAATGTGCATGCTTGCAGGTGTCGGATTTCCTGCAAATGGAGGGCCCTCCACAGGCCTTGAAGAGCACCATGACACTCGCCCGGCTGAAGGACCCGTAGACTCGTGTTCGTCGAAGGGTGGTTTGTTGCTGACGGGAGGCCCACGACGCTCTGATGGACCAGGGGCTGCTGCACGAGTGGCACCCAGGAGTGGCACCCAGGAATGTGCTAGGGCATCTCCGATGGCACCCTGTGGTTCTCTACAACCTTTTTCTGCACCGAGGAATGTTCGTGGTCTTCATCTCGCACCAATGGCTTCTCAGCTGTGCAAGGGGGCAGCTTTAGTGGGTTCATGTATCTCAACATGAAGTTTTTTCGCGAGAAAATGCCAAAGTCCAGGATCGGAGCTGGGCACCCGGATCCCTCTGGAACACAAACGGCCGCGCTGCGTGGTGCTGTCTCTAGTGCCCTGGCTACGAAGCTCCAAAAGCTACGGCGCAGCAGAAAAGTTCCCAAGCCGGCTTTCAACCCAGATGGATATGGATTCTTCGACAAATTCCACAAACAACGGTTGAAATCTGCATCTCAAGACCCGGAACCTTGAACCTCTGATCATTCCCCGTGGGTAGAGGAACCTGCGCAGTAGGAATCTTTTCCTGTGTCACCCTCTGAGCTTAGATCACGTGACACTTGACACCTTCAACTCGAACCTGTTTCGACCCTACAATGTGGGTACCAGTGGATGCTGTAACCTGGCCGTGCTAGAGGCAACACAACCAGTAGTTACTCGCCCACTTCGTGAGAGCAAGTGAAATTCTGTGGTTAAAGTGTCCGCAGATGCTCCGGAGAAGTCTTCTGCCCCAGCAAGCAGGCTTCATCGATGGCTCGCTGCAGGTGGAGCCTGATTTGATATCCATGGATATTTCAACTATTTGGACGAGACTGGTCGCACTCAGCTAAGTGTATGTTCTAGAACGAAGATACGCGGGGTGTGGAAAGGACGTCAGACGGAAGTGACAGAAGAACAGGTCAGGTATCGTGCGTGAACCAGCCACATGGCAAAGGAAGCACCTGCTACACCGGTCGAGTGCAATTGCAGGGCATCAAAGAATTCTCCAGCCAAGGAAGACGCTTCTGTGCTTGCAGTGCAAACAGACCTGCGCAGTGTACTTAGGGAAAGTTATTCTAACTCGTGACAAGTGACCATCTTCGGCTTCAGTCATGCGTGCATTCTTTCATGTCGTGTGGCATGGCTTTTGCACTGTTCGCGATCTGAACCTTAGCATGCTTGTGCTTGGCGCTTTTTGGTTGCATTCTTAATCGTGCGTTTGTCTGCCACGTGTGACGTGGATTGCAAGTGAACCAGCTTGCCAAGTTTCAGGGAACGTTCTGACTCTTTGAGTAGAGTTGACATCACACACGCTTTCGGATGCCCGAGATGCTGCCGGTTGTTAGTTTCTACAAATTGGCAGAAACGTCGTTATCTCAATTGTCCATCCATGTTGATATTTAGCCACCAGCAGGTCATCAGAAGACGCAATAAGAAGACAGGTTGTTCGTTTTGTTTGTTTCAGATTTCTTTGAACAGTTTCTATGTGTGTCATCGCATGTACCGAGGACGTATTCTTGCGAAGAAATCGCGAATGGTTATATCTTCTTCGATTGGTTCGCAATCCCACAGATCACCGCCCGGAAGCAAGGTCCGAGTGATTGTGTCGTTAGTCGCAGAAAGGAAGTTCCGCCAAAGCTTTTCACCAGCCACCTGTCCAAGCCGAGCCTTAAAACAGCGTGCTACAGTACAGTTGATGCAGCTGTCGTGCCTGGTGCTTGTAGCCAGCTTGTAGCGGACGTAGACGACGATCTACCGGACGCGAGTTGTCCGACTTACTTGGACGCGTTGAAACGGCCGCAGGAGTAAATGAGAACGTTACCAAGTCCGATGCTGCCCTGGCGGTGGTGGCCTCTGATCTGTGGAAGCTTAGGGACTTCCGACTGTGGCCGTCATGCAGGCATGTGCGAGACTCGGGTTTGGGTATGCTGGCAAGTTCGCCCCAAGGTCCAGAGCATACCGGCGTATGTGGAAGTATCCGATCCCTGGACGAAGTTCATTACCTATTGAGCGTGCTTGATTTGTTTCTCAATGTTCTGTCGACCATGATGTGCAATGGAGAGGTCACGCATCGTTTGGGCAATCGGGCTACATAATTAGAAGGAGTTTGGGCCATCGCTACTTGTAAGGCATTCGAGCTTTGGCCAAGTTAATCTTTTTCACGAACGGTGTGCATTTTCCAATGGTTCAACATCTGAATAGTGGTGACTCAGCCCCGGTCTTGATCGGGCAGATGCTGTCACTGGGTCACTGGGTGTGTTAAAGCCACAGGATCACGAGTTCCACCTCGGGTTCTTGCTTTCATGCGTTTTTTGGGAGCAGTTCAGCATTTGATCCAGATCAGTCAGGATCTCTTCATTGCCCTGGTTCCGGAACTGACCCACGCTCAGACCCGCACTCTGGAAGTGCAGTGGGGAGAGAGGTTTAAGGGGACTTGGCTCGACAGAATCGTATTTATTGATTCCTGTTCTGCTTTCAGTCCAGCAGCCAAACCCAGAGAGGCGGAGTTTTGCACACTTGAAGTGCTGGAGTATTCGCCGCCTCGCCGTGTGAGTGTGCATCATCAGCCTGTTTGGCCCTGAGTACAAAAGTGTCAAACATGGCCTTGCAGCCAAGGCAAGCCCTGCAACTACACTTCATGGCTCTCCCGTGGCTGGCATACACCTCAGTTGTTGGATGGTGTCTCAGTCTGCTACCTCCAAAATCATCAGTGCCAGTACCTCGGAGTAACACGTGCGTGCACTGGACAGGGCTATCACATCAAATGACTTGTAGCGCCAGCCACTGCAAGCTGTGTCCATTTACACATCTGTGCTAGGTGCCGCGCTGAGCTCTGGTGCCGACTTCTCTCCAACAAGCTCCCGGGATTCAGCAAGCTTGTTGGAGTACAGCACGTACTGTCAGTCTGTTTTGCGCGCCGCATGTCTTTGCGACGTGGCCTCACAGGGTCCGAGGTTGAGAACTGTGCTAAGAACTGTTGCCGATTCTTTCCGCAGAGCTCTGTCCATCGAAGAGACCCAGACTGCCCTGCCCAAACCTACGCACCGTGCAAGGAGGAACACGAGTGTGATTGTCGTCTACTCGGCTCGGGAAGCTCAGTTCATTTTCCCATTGGATTGGTGCCTTGGACCCTTATGGTAGGCTTGTATAGGTCGCCCGTAATTAATTACGTACGTACGCTTGATAACTTACGCTTTCGCACCGTTCCTGAAAGGGCCGGTCCACATGCAGGCACACATGCTCTGCAAGTTTGCTCGAAGCCTCCCTTCCACTCGTGGCATGTTTGAGCTTTAAACTTTTTACAACCTCCAGCAACCATTCCGAACCTCCACTTCTCGCAGGATTCTCCCTGCACCTTTCGTAGAGAAGCTATTGTCGTCGGATATAACCAGACAGGAGACATCACAGGACAGCACAGCGTCAAGTTTTTAAGGCAACAGAATCTGATCGCTGACGGCCAGTTCACTGTGGCGGCTCGGCAAACAGCATCAGCAGGAAAAAGGTGGAGGTCGTGGTTTAAAAGCGCATGTTGGAGATTCGCGTGTGCGCAGTTTCTAGTTGAAGTGCGAATCCGCAAGCGGATGCAGCAAACCAAGGAGAGTGATCGCGAAGCTGTGGTTCAACTGGGTGAGATGGCAGTCGAAAGCAGCCGGGAAGTGAAGATGTTGTGCTTACTGGTACTTGTCTGGCTTGGACCGGGAATCTGAAATTCCCCAGTGAATTTAGGAAACAAGTGTTCCGGAACACCAGCGATACCAATGCATAAATTTGTCTCCATGAAGGGTATAAGCTGGTGCTGACATGTTTGCCTTTGGGCTTCTGCCCCGAGGTAAGATTCAACACTTGGCCGTCGAGGGCCCGTCTCTTGGAAGCAGAAGACTGGCAGAGCAGAATGGCAGTTGACCGCGGAGCGCTGTGCTTGCTGAGCGATGGACTGTTGTCCTCCGAGTGTTGGTCTATGCCTGCCGCCGGGGTGTAAGATCCAAGGCTGAAAGGATACCGCTTCTACAAGGCTGGGTTGGCACTGAGAAGATTGACCTGAACAACCCTGTGTTTGTTAGCATTTGCTTCGCTACCCAGTAGGCAAGGCAGAGTTTTTGTTGGTTGGTTGGTTTGTTTTTTCGTTCTTGGCCATAGCAGTGTCCCAGCCGAACCGTTGCGCTGAGAGTCTTGAGGCAATGCGCAATAAGCTGCTCGGTCAGCCGCGGCAGGAGAGTGGAGGGCCGATTTCGACAGTTCAGCTCTTTTAGCAAAGCCTGCTTGAGGTCCGTAGGTTTTGAATTTTGCTTTGCTACTCGTACTCCAGGACCTGAGCCTGGATGCCTTCTTGTCCAGCTTCAACTTTGAGAGTGTTGAGGCTGGGGAGACTATTCAGCCGGTATTTGATTAAGTTCCCAGAACACGGCGTGTCCAGCTTCACAACCAAACTTTGCTTAGCGCTGCTGTGGTGAAGCAAGTAAGAACCAGCCACGAAAGGCGGCAATAAACGATGACAGCGGCATGGATGGCATGGCCACAGTGGCGGCAACAAGAGCAACTTATTCAGTCGGCGCGAGATTACAGCCACCTCGATTTGAGGCAACAGCTGTCTTTGGCGGGGCTGTGAATATCCTGCGCAGATTGGTTGAGAAGAGTGCCTTGAAAGCAGTACCTCGTGAATCACTCGTGGTCCTGATGGCCTTTATGGCCAGAGTCGGATATTGGTGGCCTGGCTTAGTGGCTCTGCCGTCTATGCTTGCAGAATCCAGCGTGAAGGGTTCAGTGCCTTGCAGCCTGCTTGCAGTCTTCTCCCTTGCCGCAGCAAAGCACGCCCAATCCTGAGACTGAGGGGGCGACCCGAACCGGCGAATGCGTGGTATGGGTGAACTAGGCATCGGCGCTTGCATCCTTGTATTTGCCTTTGCTGAGGACTGAAAGCGCGCTATAGAACGCACATCTTCGGTGATTGCCTGAAGGGCAACAGACGACAAAAACATGCGTTTTCCAAATCTGAGCTGGCACAAATAATGGTGCTAAATTCACGACCAGAACATATCAGAGTATCTTTGGGAAGAGTGTGCTTGCTGTCCACGGCTTGGTTCTTCCAAATTCGCAGGCTACTACGACACCCAGACCCTGCTGATGGTTGCCGCGAAGTCGTCACAGCCTGCTGATGTGAGTCTTGGCTGAACTGGTGATGCAGACTTCCATACGACTTCATGGCTATTTGCGCAGCACTCGCAGGGACGTGTCGAGGACTGCTTTCCAATGGAGAAGAGCGTTGTTGCTACCAGACCCATGCTGCGCATACAGCTCACGGATTTCTCGGAGCAAGGCTTTCAACGCTCATCGAGTTGCATGCGGATCCGTGCGCCGTCTCACGAAGTGGTCGCTTGGATTCCCAGGCGGAGGGAGCGTGACGGAGTGTGCTGTGCTTCTATGTGCATTCAGGCTCCGGTGTTGAGGATGTTGGTAAGCTCTGCTAGCTAGCATAAAGTGAAGACGCAGCAATCGTACAAAGTCCCTGTGTGTAAGCGTGGCACACTGTCTCCCGTGCTGTCGGTATCGGCATCTTCTGTGGTAAATCACGTCGCCTCGTGACTAGTGAGTGGCAAGCCCCGCAGCCCTTTCTGGCGATGGTGCTTGTGGGGTGGGGGGATTGGGAGGGGCTCTTCGTAGTCTTCCACTGATTGGAGTCAATACTGATGCCCGAAACTTGATCGCAGGCCAGAGGTGGGCGGTTCAGGAAGCTTCGATGTTGTTGCGCGAAGCTCTGAAAGATCGAGTTTTCAGGAGCCCTTGCGATTCAATCTTTGCTGAAGCTCATAAGGACCCGTAGTTGTCGGGGGGAAGCCCTGAGAACCCCTGGTTCCTGATGAGAAGACTCAAAAGCTTGGGTCTTCAAGCCTCGAAGCAATGGGGGTCCTTGAGACTCCGAAATTTCATGTTTGGAATCTACTGGCTGTCGGTGTGGTGCTCTGGACAATGTGGTCTCGGCTTGCCTGTTCAACTTGCCTGCACGCGGGACTGTTGCGTGGCGCCCATTTAGGGTTGGCGACGGGCAGTGTGAACAACGGGTGTCGCTTCTTGATGCTGCTTAGGGCTTAGGGGGGTAAATGGATGAAGTGACAAAGCGTTGAGGTGAGATTTTGGCATTTCAGGCCGACAGATGCAAAGGCAGGCAGCAGTCGAGTTTCCTTTCGCTCGGAGTCGGAGGGAGGCTCAGCCAAGGCATCAACTGCGCGTTTCTTGCCAGATCTCCTGGTCACGTCAAGGTCCTGCTGGAGGCTTGGGTGGGGTGGCACAAACACAGGTGGAGAGTCGTGGAAAGCCGGGCGTATATAGTGGAGAAAGACGGCTCTTATGGCGAGTTTCTGCCGAATCTAGAGGGGACATGTTTGTCCCGAGTCCTGTGCTCTAACTTTAACTTGGTCGCCGTGTTGTTCTATGTTTTGCTCGGCGTCTCCTGATTTCTGGCGGCCTGTTGGGTTCTTCTCTGCTTGCTGTCAGCTATGAGACAGGCTCGGATGGATGTCAGCTCATCCTTCGAAGTGCATGGGGCGTGTTCCTTCGCAGGCCCAAGCGACTTGGATGTCTATGGCCCTGTGCTTCAAGACAGCTTCGCTTCAGTACTTCACTGCACTGCCTTCTCAGGTACTGTCAAGGCGATCCTGGCGGCCCGGGCGAGCGTCAACAGCCAGGGCGAAGGCTCACACCTGTCAGAATGCGCTCACCCGTAGTAGCTTGGGAGGCTCAGCACCGAGCGTGAAGCTGCAGTCGTCGTGCCCGAAACAACGGGACAGAGCAAAGAAGGGATGCGATTTTACGGAACACAGCCTTGCATCGTAGTTGACTGCAGAGATGTGCCGAGTTTTTGGCAACACTTGGACCGACAACCCGCAGAGAGCCTGCAGGTGGCTCATCGCCTCAGAGCACACTTTCCAATATGTGCACTGCACTTAGTGGCGGCACGATATAGTGATATATTCTGTGCGAGTTCTCATCGAGATGAAACGGGTTTTAGCAATCTATGGCTTCATGGATTCTCCGAGCCCAGAGTTAATTTTGCACCGCTGCAGCTGTAAGTGACCATGCATTGCAATCGGTGAATGCAGGCTACACTCCATTGCACGCTTGTGCGATGTTTTCTCGGGGCAATCGGTTTGCCGCCGAGACCGCAAGATTGCTGATCCAACAGCGTGCAGATGTGAATGCCCCTGCAGTGCCTAGTGGCTTCTTGTCCTCTCCGGCATATTTTCTTTGCTGATTCCTGGTTAACCTTGCCATTATTTGCAGAGCAGTCAGATTCACCCATGTGCAGCTTGGAGCCAGCTGTAAAGATATGTGATGTGTGCCATGTTGTCTCAGGCTACTTCGACTTGGAGTGTCGGTGCGCGCGGCTGGTGTCAGCACTGGCTGGTTTCGAGAACGGCTCCTACGTTACCCGGACACTGGACAGCAATGACAGAAGGCAGTCATCCTGTCCTGACTTTATGCCTTGCGTTGACAGGCCTGCGTGAACGCATCCATGCTAGGTGGTACGCTGGAAAAAATGAGAACCGGGGGCCAAAGCCCGTAGTGCCGTAGTGGGTCTCGGCAAGGATGCTCGCCAGCATTCCTGGCATAACACCATTGGGAACGGCGGCCTTCATTGGCCACTCGAGCTGCATGAAGCAGACCTTTGTGCAACGTTTGTGGCATCATCGTCTAGTTTTCAGGGCCAGCACGTCGTTTCCTTGCAAGCAAGTTTTGTAAAACCCGACCCAGCTCACTTGGCGCACAAGGAGACGAGCACTTGTGCCAGATTCTCTTGGACCATGGTGCTGACATGCGCCCAAACGATCCTCGGATGAATTCTGGTATGCCTCTGTGCTCCCCTGAGTATCGCACTTGCCACTGAGATTACTGGCATCAGAGGGTCGTCAGCTGTGTGAGGTGTGTGACCGTTGACCCAGTCGCCTTGTAAAAGCTCCATGTGTAAGGGCCAAAGTCCAAAACAGACGACAGACGGGGCCCAAAGTTGGGCTTTTCAGTTTCTCAAGCAGACAACAAATTGAGATTTCCGCCCAGTTCGGGGTTTGCAGCCGACATTCGCCGACGTATTGCAGGCGCGGGGTGACACACCCGAGACCTTTGCGCGTCTGGCTTGCAAGTGGTAAATCCGCTGGTGTTTTGGTGATAAGGCTGGCCGGTGTCCATGTTCGATCGGGGTTGCTGAATTGTTGCATGTAATTTGGCGTATAGGTGGCAGGTCTTGACAATTGGTTTGCACAGCTCGCTCTGTTGGCCTGACACATGCTGCACGTTTTTCAAGACGAGGATCGTCAACCGCCACGACCACCTGATCCCCCATTTGGCCACATTCCTCACCTGAATGAGGCCCCTGCCCAGTCTTTATCTGCTTCTTGGGGACGGGTTGCAGCTAAGACAACTTGGTATCTAGAATCTAGCCACTTGCCTGTAGCGAATCAGATTTCAGCTGATGTGACAGGGGCGAGATGCAGCTTGTTGTGCAGCCAAGCTCAGCCAGGTTTGTCCACTCCATGCCAGCTGAGTTCGGGACACATTTCCGGAGCTGCAAAGGTGCTTACCTATCTGTCCCGATTTAAAATGCGTGCCGAAAACCACCCTGCAAGAACATAGGCAGAGAAACCGTTAGGCCTGCGGCCCCGCTCCTTCCACCATTAATGTCGCTTGAGACTGAAGTTCATCCGTGCGGCGGAAGCCTGCCCTTGCAAAGCTCAGGCAGACAACTTTGTCCCATTTCCTGCCAAGCAGGACAATTCGACATACTTGCAGGTTCGTCGGACAAGCCCGACAGACAGCTAGCAAGCAGGATTTCAGTCCCAGGAGCCCTAGCCGTGTTGTCTGCGGGCTGCGCAAAATACGAGTCTATGACTCAACACACCGTCTCATCAAGTGTTCTCACCACCTTTCAAGCGAATCAAATCTGCCGCTTGAGGACCGCGCTTTGAGGCCGAGGCGCGCCCGAAGCTGGAGCTCAGTTCGTGTTGTGTCACAGCAAGCATCACAGTAGGGCGTGTGGGCGTTGGACCTTGTGCCTCCAATCAAGTTTTGTGTGCTCTAGGGAAAGCTCTTTCAAAGCTCACGAGTATCTTCGGAGACCGTCGACATGAACACCCCAGATCCCAATACGATGGGCTCAGGTGCGTTAACCAGAAGTGAATATGAGCGGCCTGCCAGACATGGATCAAACATTAATGGCTGGCCTGTTCCAAATGCGCTCCACCGTCGGATTGGATGGTTTAACAGTTCAACCGTTCAGCAGTTGAAGGGAAATTATACAAGGACCAGGAGATGGTTTTGGCATGGGGTGATATTATGTTGCTGGTTCGATGGCCAATGTGCCGTCGTGTCTTCTCCTATGCTTACAAGAGCTTGCCAGCTGACAGCTGGGAAGCCTCCGAGCCCGGGCAAGGCCTGCATGATGGAATTCTGAGGGTGACTCTGCTCCTCTGGGTTCTTGGAGGATTCAAGTTGATTTCAGCCTGCTGGCCAGGCGGCGGGCACTGGCTACGTTGGGCCACTATTAGTCAAGAACATGCACATGTCCTTATTTGTGTTCCAACAGGTTTACAAAGCCCCAACTCCGTGGTCAGAGCACTTGCCGGCCGGAGACCAGACCGTCAAGTTTAGTTAGGAGGTCCCTCCACCTGATGGCAAGATTTGCGCGGTCTCGTGAGTCTCTGTATCTCTCCGACATTTGTTAAGTGCCGAGTCGGCCGTGGAGGGATCTCATCCTTAGGATGCCAAATGCAACGGATTGCCGCCAGACGCGCGCGCACCACTGATCAAAAGTGAAATGTGACCCACCCGAACATTCAAGATCACTTCCGGCTGCGGAAGTGCACAGGGAATCAAAAAATTGCAAAGCTACAGTTTGACGGCATTTGGCGGCGTCTAAGTGGGTGTCTGGGAAGGTCTCATTATGATATGTGGATATATGTTTTACTACATAAAATGTTCGTCGCCGGACCATTTGAGAGGGACGGTGGAAGGGACCACTCGGGGCGGTAGCAAGCATTCGATCTCTGGCCAGAAGGCATCATATCCACCTTCCGCCATAGCACTCTTTGTTCAAGCCCATGTCAACACTTCAGATTCCAAACAGATCCAAACCGGTTGTGTTCGTGGCTACGGTTTCTCGGGTTTGGGATTTTCAGGGTTCGGGTTTGTGGTGTTTTGGGTTTAGCTGCTTAGCTGTCAATATCCTTCTTTCTGCGAGAACGAGAGGGAGAAAGAGTTCAGGGGTTGTAACGTTGCGAGGTTCACGTGCTAAATATGGGTAGGTCTTACCTCATGCGCAGGGTCAGCAACTCGAGCCTGTGTGGTTGCGAAGGTGTGTCGGGCTTTGTAGTTTTTCTCTTTTGGGGTTTAAGGGTCAGGGAGGGTCTTGGGCTGAGGGTTGAGCTTAGATTTGCGGTTATAGGGTTTTGAAGTTTCACGTGTTCTGGGGTTGTTGGATGTTTGGGGGTTTGAGGGTCAGAGGTTTCTTTGTGCTCAGGGTGTTGGGGTTTGGGAATCCCGGGACCGAAAGCGAAACCAGCGCCTTTCGCAAATCAGCCCGTGAGCTTCTCTGCCGCGAAGTGTTCGAATCGAATTTTCTGGTGTGTGAAACTTAGTGGACGGTGCCCGGCATCATCTCCGGCTCCGCACTGCGATACTGTAGCACATCTGCTCTCATTCCGATGCACTTCTGACATATGGCATATCAGCTGAAGGTAAAGTGCAGCCTCAAGCATGCGACTTCAACACGAGCGTGTGCAGCAGGCAAACACCAAGGTATATAAGTTTCGGTTCCCTGCGTTGCTCGCTGATGGCCGGAGCCTTGGTTGCTTTGGCATCCAGCCATTTCCACAGAAACTCGGTGAGGTCCTCCGGCTCGTGCTGGTGGCCGGACTGTTGGGAATTTCTTGGGCCGAAGAGAGGAAGCTGGAGGTCACAGAGAGTCAAGGCCCTCCCCCGCTCCAGCATTCAGTACATTTCAGTGGTCTGCAACCTCTGACTCTGGACTCCGTGCGTGATGTGGGCGTTTTTGGAGGCTTTGCAGCAGGCCAAACCGGCGAGTGAGCCCTGTTGCGTGTCGTTTGCGAGTCTCATGTGAGCTAATTAAGCAAGCCATTTCAAAACGAAGCTCGGCTGTGCCCGTTCAATTTCGAACCTTGTTTGTTTCTGAATTCCAGACATGTGAACGAAATTCTGGCTGTAAAGGCTTGGACTTGGATGTCGGGTCGATGCGACCGCTGCAGAAGACTCTTGCTTGTCTTCGGGGCTAGATGCTGCCAGGTACTTCCGATACAAGCACATATTCCACAAGAAACCCAGCGGTGAGGATTTCCAGCACGCTCAAAAGGTTGCAGAAGAGGCACTTCACTCAGCTTGGGAGCAGGGCTGCATGTAGAACACATGCCTGTGCGTGGCCAGCGTTCCTGGTTCGTGGCGGCTTGCAGTGTCTGCTTCTCTATGTGATCATGCACTCTTGCATGGGCAGTGACAGAGCTCCGCGTGAGTAGCCGCCCCGCAGGTACGATGCATAGTGTGTGCCCGTCACCCAGTTGAGTTGTTCGATGGTTGCATCATGCCGCAAACAAACTGCAGCTGCGAGATTCTGAGCATCCGGGAGCCGCCATCTTTTTTGTGTCAGAGCTTCCGCCAGCTCAGGCCAAAATATTGGCATCCCTGCTGGCAAAGGCGCGTTCGTTCAGCGAGGACTGGGAGAGGATCATGAGCTCAACTAGTAACTAGCAGTAGCAGAAGCAAGTCGTTGAAGAAGCGGGGGACAAGGGGAGCTCTTTGCTGTAATCGGGCTGCTGGACAACGAGGCCTGCTGCAAAAAAGTCGTTGAGTAATGGCTACCGATGCTTAAAGCATCTTGAATCATGAGCCTGTCGCATGACCCCCTGACAGGACGACATAGCAGATGTTTTGGAAGGCAATGCAGAATACGATAGGACCGGTGATCCCGTGACGGTACCTTGGCAGCAAGGTAGTTGTATTTCTCCAGCAAGGTAGTTGTATTTCTCCGGAAAGCTTGTTGCAAAGGGAGTGGGCCATCATGAGTAACTTCGTTGGTGCCTGTGATAGGGAAGAGCCGAGGACCAAATGCTGAAGCACAAGCGCGGGTGTAACAAGCACTTCAAGGAGGGCCGCTGGCGGTCCCCACCAACAGCACCGATGCATCCACAGAAACCCGACATAAAGTGACGGACAAGACAAGCCACACACGCGCGAGTCCAACTGTGCCCCTGCATGCCCGTAGCTGCTTTCACCATCAAGCGAGCACTTGAAGACTTGGCAACAAGATGCAACAAATACAGCTCCAGCTAGAGACTTGTAACTTATAACTTAAAGCAGCACCCCGTTTTCATCACAACCACTGTCTCCTATATCACGACACCGCCACCATCCTTGTCATCGTCGCCATCCCGCAGTGCTGTGCGGCTGGATGGCCTCGCCTTCGAGCGGGTATCGTCCTTCTTTGCAGAGATTGGAAACCAAGGTACGGCTCATGTAGGTGCAGTTCATGTTCCCAAGCTTTCGATGTGCCGGGAGGGGGAAGGTAGGGAAAAATGCTTTTGTCAGCTCAGCAGATTCAGATGCTGCAGCAGCAGGCATAGGCACCGTTCAGCACAATTGGCTGTTAGTTCATTGTATTGTTGTCTTTTTACGTACAGATACCACCACAACGATGACGAACACAACGACGACCAAGAGCACTGCTTCTGCTGCAGCAGATGCTGCTACTATGGCGACGACGACGAATGCCAGTGCTACCAGTACGAGAGCCTGCTAATGCTGCTGCTACTACTGATGCTACTGTTGCTGCGTGCTACGAAGACGACGACGACTACCACTATCGCTACCAGTAATGCTACCACTGCCACTACCACTACCAGTACTGCTACCACTGCTAGTGCTGCTACGAACTCGTACTCGCAGTAGCAGTGGGAGTAGTAGAGGCAGTAGCACTAGCCATAGCAGTAGCCAGAGCAGTAGCCAGAGCAGGAGCAGGAGCAGCAGCAGCAGCAGCTGCAGCTGTAGCCGTAGCCGTAGGGGTAGGAGTAGTTAGTAGTAGTCGTAGTAGTAGTAGTAGTAGTCGTAGTCGTAGTCGTAGTCGTAGTCGTAGTCGTAGTGGTAGTGGTAGTGGTAGTGGTAGTGGTAGTGGTAGTCGTAGCCGTAGCCGTAGCCGTAGTCGTAGTCGTAGTCGTAGTCGTAGACGTAGACGTAGTCGTAGTCGTAGTCGTAGTCGTAGTAGGAGGAGTAGTAGTAGTAGTAGTAGTAGTAGTAGTAGTAGTAGTAGTAGTAGTAGTAGTAGTATAGTAGTAGTAGTAGTAGTAGTAGTAGTAGTAGTAGTAGTAGTAGTAGTAGTAGTTGTAGTTGTAGTTGTAGCTGTAGCTGTAGTTGTAGTTGTGGTGGTAGTAGTAGTAGTTGTAGTAGGAGCGAGAAGCAGCAGCAGCTGCAGCTGCAGCTGTTGTAGTAGTACCACGACTGACTACGACTTCGCGACCGTGGTGGGTTGCTCTGCCTCGAGCTTCCGTCAGCAGGCTGTCGAAGAGGACGCACGCAGAAAGTCAACTCGCCAGCTTTGGCGGCAGCTTTTTGAGGCCGGAGCAACAGCATTTGCAAGGCTTTCACATAGTTTGCGGGAGCAGTCTAGTAACAAAAGCTGGGACGTTGCAGGACGAACTCAGCAGTTCAATTAAGTTCTGGAGGTGCAGTGCATGCAACTGAATCAAGACCTCCATTCGGAATTGGCTTCTGAGAACCAGCGAAAAATCTGAGGGAATAAAACTCAACCCCGCAAAAATGCTTGAATTACAACCCGTCGCGTCCAAGCCTTCGCAGCGCAGCTCCACCGAGCATTCCCAGAATCGTTCCGAAGTGGACCACACGCTAACTCAAGCATGGTCGTGATGGAGAAAGTGTTATGTTTGCTGCAAGCAGATAGTAACAGATAGTACTGCCGCCGGTCCGGTTAGCCCTTTCTCGCGAAAGTGCAGGCCTCCTTTGTCTCTCTACTTGCAAATGTTGCTGCGCAAATTCTGTTGAATCTGTCTTCAGTTGCTGCGTGGGGTAAACTTTCCTTCGCAACGAGCCCCCTGTTGCCTCACACTTCACTACAGCAATCAGGGCAGCTAGGCCTCGAAGCAAGATCTTGCGCTTCCGATCACTCCCGCCCCAACCCCGGGTAGGTTTGGATCATCTTCCTGGGCGTGAGTGGTTTCTTCTTGAACTCGCTTCTTCCTTTGAGTTGGTGCCTGTCGTCCTCCCTAGCTCTAGGTATATGTGAATGAATGTTAGATTGAAGTCCCCACGTCTCTGTGTCGGCGTGGGTCATGCAGTGTGGTTTCGTCAAAAAGCATGTCCTGGTGCACAGTGGTATCAAGATCCATGAATATGGCTTTGATGCAGACGACCGATCTTTGTGAGTGTTGGTATGACATCAAGAATCAAGTTTCAGAAGCGAGATCGCCCGCGAGGATCGTGCGCTTGTGCACCTTCAATCCCTTTCAGTGTCGCTGTAATATCGAGCTCCAAAAGCACGACAGAACGAGGCTTTGCTCCAATTACTCCACCTTATCCCTGTTGTCGCCGTTCTTGCTGTGACTGTTGCCCCTCCTCCCCCCAACCCCCCAAGGGGTTTGGCACGAGAAGGCCAGACGCCTAAACGGCCAGACGAACGGCTGTTTGGGCTTGTCCAACATCCCCGATCCGTGGCCGCCTTCAGGAAGTGAGCGAATGGTTCCGTGGCCGAGGAGAGGAGCTGATCTACGCGCAGCTGGAGACTGTTTAGCAGTTTAGCAGGGCTCTAGCCTGAGCTCTTCTCCTTCCAAATCAGATCTGATTTCTACCCCGAGAACGGGATCCAACTCGACGAAAGCCAAGGACGACCAGCTTACCGAGTTTCTGCGCGAGAAGTATTTCGAAGGAAAGCTGCGGAGCTACGCCGTGAACGTGATTCGTGCAGTGAAGTTCGAGGCGTGCCGGTCGTCCGAGGAATTGACCCAAGGGCAGCAATGACATCAACAAAATCTGGGTTGCAGTGCCACGTGCCAGGTGCCTGCAGAAATGGGGCGTGACAGCCTCGGACGTGCCAGAAACGCGGTTGCGCGCGACTGGGCTCTTGCTGTAACATGCCGACATGTCAAGTAAATAGTCCATGAGAGTGTTACAAGGTGTCAGCATCAGTAATCGTGGTTCGACTTTGCTTCGACATGAGGGTGTGTATCATGACCGTGAGTCGTTGACGAGGCTGGCGTTTGTGTTCCCACGTAATGTGACGGCTTGTTTAGTACCATGGGCCTAATTAATGCGTTTTTGTTCCTTATTCAGGGTACTACTACTACTACTACTACTACTACTACTACTACTACTACTACTACTACTACTACTACTACTGTACTACTGCTGTATTACTCCCGTATTAATATGTACCACTACTGTTGCTACTGTACTACTACTGTACTATTACTGTACCACTACCTTACTACTACTTTGCTACTGCACTACTACTGCACTACTACCGTAGTATTGTGGTACTACTGTACCATTACTGTACTACTCTCCTGTCTACTCGGGGTCAGACTTGGTCGATCGCGATCGTGAAGGGGAATGTAGGCTGGAAGGAACAGTCTTCAAAATGAAAGGTTTTTTGACCTCGTAGTTATCTTGGCGTGATCGGGGCTTGGTTTCGAGGTTTTGGTCATCCCAAACTCTGCTAAACAGCTCTAGGTACTCCTAAACCCTCGCACTTTACTACTGACTGTACTACTACTACTACTACTACTACTATACGATTACTACGTACTGTACTACTGCACACTACCAGGGGTCAGACTTGGTCAATGGTGAAGGGGGAGTGTAGGCTGGAAAGAAAAGTCTTCAAAATGGAGGGTTTTTGGTCTTGGTGGTTGTCTTGGAGTCATCGGGGCTTGGTTTCGAGCTTTCGGTGATCCCGACCCCGACCCAGGGATCCGCGGCGGAGAACCGCAGACCCCCCACCCAAGGCCTCCCCAAACCTCCAGGACCCCCCAATTCCTTTCTAACGGAATCAAAGCCACGCAGACACTGACCCCGGTCCGGGGGGTCACGGACACTACACTATTCAAGCCAAAAGTTTTGATCGGGGGGGGGGGGGTAACTATTCAAACCGTAACATTACTACATACGTTCGACACACCTGCGAGATACTGCAAGGTTGGGATGATACTCCTTTTCTCGAGCCGGACACTACCAAGGCGCGGACGTCCAGCGCTCCACGTCGCGGAGGATGCTTGACAGCCGTTCAGGTTCGGGCGGCTGTCCTCCAAGCGATGGGCACGGCAGCAGTATGCCCTTCGCCTTCACTGGCTTCTTCAGGGGTGCAGTGACCACGTCAGATCTTCAGGCCTTTTCATGAAGCATGGGTGACCTTTGCAGTTCAACGGATAGCTCGCAATTGCTCATGCTTCGCGGGTTTAGGGAGGGTGCTCCTGAGCTCGAAACTTCAGCGGAGGCAATGGCCTGGGAGAAATGCTTGGCCTTGAACCACTGCTGCAACTGCGGGGATCTTCCAGAAGCATCTTGCCTTGCGCTTATTGGGCATCGTTTCCCGTCAGTTTGGAGGGAAAGGGGCCATTGTGTCAGCGCTCGAACCGAACGGTAGCATCATGAACCATGTCATTGATTAACCACGGCAGGTATGCCGGCGGCAGCCCCTGAGACAAACGACTCAGCAGATTTTGCTGGATCAGCTTCCCATCTCTTTGAATTGTCGGCGTGGTGTTTGCTTGTAGGTCCTGTAGGTGATGTGAACAAACTCACTTCGGCATCAGGTGGACAGTGCCCTCCATCGTGTCTTCAAGGACCACTTCCCGCACATCAGTGGTGAAGACTGGCGCGGATGCACGCCTTTGCGGCAGGATTGGCTCTGGCCCGCTGTTGCCATGCAACTTAATGCCGGCATGCAAAGAGTCATGCAAGAAATCGCTACAGCCGCTTTCTCTGGGAGCGCTTAGGCCTAGAACAACGAAGCGAGCGTGAGGCCACCAACGGCCATGGTGCACAACAAAGAGAGCCCGGAAAGCAGACGATAACACCGCCCAATCCGCACACAAAGGGCGCACACACACAGACACACCCACACCCACGCCCGCACCCACGCCCACCTCACAGCACAGTATCAGCAATCCCCAACTTGCAAGAACTACATGTGTGCATGGCACTTGCAACAGTCAGTTCGACAAACTCATGCATGGAAGCTGATGTGATATTTGTCCGGTATGAAAAGGCACAGCTGCACGAGCAAATTAAACCTCTAAGTTCATGCTAGCATCGTCCAGGACCTGCAGAACTTCCTCGCACAGTGGATGGTTCTGCCAGGCGATGAGAGCAGCGAAGGAGGCACTGTGCCAGACCATCCGGCTATGCGGTTGGTCATTCGCCACTCCGAGGCTTTGCTTCAGCTGGAGATGGCAGGGTCAGCAGCCTTCCAGATGGAAGGCAGTCTAGCACTCTTCGGGCACGATCTGCTACAACTGAACTTGGACACCGTGGGCCTGTGGTTCAGGACGCCTGGCCGCACGGATGTGCAACTCCTGCAAGACAACAACTTGAACCACAGCTTCGAGAGTGGCTCCGCGACACAAGTAGCTGCACTTGGCCAGAAGCTGCGGCGGTTTTTGGACCCTTGGCGCCGCGGCTCAGATCCCAGAAGTGTCGAAAAGTCTTTCCGATACTTTGAGTTGCTCCGCGGAGCCGGTGTATGTAATTATGACTGGGGGTGAGAAGCTCCACAATGGTACAGTATGGACTCGAGAAGGGAATGAAACCAAATAAGGCAAGCCCGTGATGCAGTGCAGCTGCTGAACCCCACCTCTTTGTCCACCCTGTCAATGCTATTCCCGGATGCCAAGTACGATGTGGCTTTGGTCCAAGATGCCTGGCAAAACACACAGCTGGGAAAAATTCGAGGCTCTCCCAACTCTCAATCTGCAGAGAGCCAGCAGCAACTTCTGCCTGAGCTCCAAAGTGAATTTATTTGGAATCGACCTTTTGAGCCAAACTTCGCGTCTTTCTTGTCTGAGAGCAGTGTTTTCTCGGATCTGGAAGCATCAAGCTTTCCTGGTCTGGTTCTTTCGGCCGGCTTGGGACAGTGTTGTGAGCGTGAGCTCGAGACGCCTTGTTCTGGAGAGCATTCAGCCTGCCCCAAGGACCAGCAACCACAGGCCAAGTAGCACCAAAGTGGACTGGAGACTGTGGTTCATTGTCATGTTCACTGAGGACACGTTTCAACACTACGACCTGCAGGCGCACTATGCTTTGGAGGATACGAACTTTCTGGAACAAATCCGGGGCAGCCCGCGCGACTGCTTCTTGAGATGACATCAGAGAGAGTTCGAGGAGAGCAGTGTTTTGATGAGAGTATATTAGAGGGTTTTGGGATGGTTCATCACGCATTCATCGATTGGCGAGTGGCGTCTAGTCACATGACAGAGGTGATCGTGCAGGAATTGCAAAAAGACAAAAGACTACATGTGCGTTGCATCGACCTCTCGGATGTTCTGGGTACAAACCGACAACGTAACATGTAAAGAACTGAATGAGAGATCGTAGCGACACCGAAGCACATAGCACCTTCATTGCTTCTTGATGCTTTTGAAGTCTGCCAGTGGCACACTGATTTCGAAGACATTCCCATCACCCTTTTGCAAGGCTACCTGTCGTACACGCTGAAAAGCAGCAGCAGAATCTGCTCCTGGGCAACATCTCATGGCTCTCGTGAACAATTCGTACGCCAACTTGGGTCAGTGCTTAAATTGATGGTCGGCATGAGAAGCGAGTCTGCTGAGCTAGTGCTCCAAAGCCGGTGAGGCCTTTGGTCCTTGCAGTTGTGCTTGGCTTCCGGTTGCAGAAGCAGCTCAGGCTCATGTCACCACCTTCTCAAGACCCAGGAGCATTTGGATACGACTCGAGTGGAGTTTCTGAGTGTTGCATGCAGCATTCCTCAGTTTCTCATGCTACATGAACCTTGTTCATGGTGCAACTGCTGCGTCATGCTGTGTCGCTCTTCCGTCGCGCCGCCATGAGACAGAGAGAGTGTGAGAGAGATGCATTAAGTTCATGCAGTCTCAGGCAAGCCACCATCTCGTGCTTCACACCCTGGGAAAGCCGTAAACCATGGGCGGGCATAATGCCCGGTGGGCCTTACTCGCCCCTCACGCCTGGGGCGGGAAAATCGGTCCAATGACCCCAAAGCCTTTGCCCGCTGCAACATTTGAGGGTGGGGGGCGCCTCGGCACGGGTCCAGCTCGCTGCACCTTAACCCCTAGCAAGCAAGCAAGCAAGGCAAACCCTCCAGCGCGATCCTGGCGAAAGAAAGAGAGGCAGATCAACCGCAGGGGGCCGGGCCCCAATGCCGTCCACTCAATAACTCACGCTTGCCTTGAGCGGTTGCACAGCGGGCGCAGTGCAGACCGCAGCGATGAATCCATAGTCTGGGGTGAAATCAGAGCGGTCTGGCGAGAATCTGTTTGGTTACAGTAGCTCGACCCTGTACCAAAAATGACCGACATGTGCGCGTGCCCGTAAGAGCCGAGCGTTGCGAATCCCAACAACAACACCATCAAGAGCAAACCGAATCCCCAAGTCAGCAAGATTGATATTGCCAACACACATGTGCTCGAGCCCCAGGCTTCGCAAAGCTGGGCGCATTGCCCGTCGAACTAAACTAAGCTTCACAGCCACCGTGTGCTCTGGCGGAGAAAACACAAGTGTCGCCGGGTCCTGCCATCGGCCCAGATTGTCACAAACTGGGTAGGGACAGTTGCCTTCATGGTGCAGCAAAAAGACAAACTCCAGCCACGACAAAGTATATGCCTCCTCAGCCTCTGCGTCCAAGCGGAAGAGGAAGGTGCACAACTGCTGTATATGCTGTATAAAACCCACCGGCAGTCCACACTGCACGCCATCAAGCATAGGCTGCCAGTTGATCGGCAGCACATCCTCCAGATCAAGTCGCCGTGGCACTGAGCCTGGTGATGGAGCCAACTCCTCAGCGTCGCCTGTCGAGGGATCAGTGTTCGAGTCCAAATCCGATGTGGCCTGCGCCGCGACAGCAAAGAAGATGGCACGCAAACTGCGGATGATGCGTAGCGTCTGTCTGTGGTAGCGGAGCGCGTTGTGGTGGACCTCAACAAGCGCGGCGGGCCTGTTACGATTGCTAAGCACTGCCAGAAGATCCGCGTGGGCATTGTGCTGTGCCAACCAGTCTTCAAAAGGGCTGTCCGTGAGCCGATCGTCCAGGTGAGACGGAGTATGCCTGGCCTGAAAGCGATGTGCCGGAAGTTGTTCCAGCAACGCAGCCAAGTCCTGCCAGAGATCCGCATCCGCAAACTGGGAAGAGTCTCCCCCATCCTGAATCAAGGTCACTCCGTCACAAACAGCCTGAGCATCGCACCAAACAAAACAAGGCAAGCCGAAACGTAGGGCCCACCTCGCCGCGGCTGTCACTCAATAACACAATGGGGGTCGGGACGAGCGGCCCAAGGGCCTACAGGTCGCCAAGCCCCAGGCACGGCAGAAAGAGAGAGAGAGCGAGAGCGAGAGAGAATCATGTCTTGCCGTGATGATGTACGACCGAAAGATACGTAAGCTTAATACGTATTCCAGGCAATTTCGGTCGACCGTGAAAAGCACCCAGGCCCGGGGGGCTTGACACGCCCCTTAAGCCTGGGAGAAGAGAAGAGAGAATCATGTTATGTTGCAGCTGCACTTTTGATATTGTATACGCTTTTTTGAGCCCTTTGCAAGCAAGCAAGAAAGAGAATCAGAATGTGGCGGGCAGAGGTTTTACGAGGCGCAGCTGCGGGAGGCCCTGGCAACTGGTTCCCGTGCGCGGCCCACAGCACTCGTACCATGGCTCCGAAGTCTCAGAGCCTCCGTAAAAATGTTGAGGATTGTCACCCTTTGGCTTCTTTGTTGTGACAGCAAAAGCACAGGGCTGGCATGGTCTCAGGTGCTTGACTTCTTCAATGCTGGCCAAATCCACGAGCCACAAGCCGATGAGGGCGACGAGGTCAGAGGGCCAGGCGGACGTCGCCTCCAAAAACGAAACTTGGACGATGGTCCTCTTGCGCAGTTTTTTATTACAACTGAGTTCACTGTAACTTTTCGAGTTTGCACGGCAGAGTGAGATGCTCGTTTCTGCCTTGACTGCACAAGTTGCGGACGTTTGTGTGGCCGCCGGAGATTCATCTTGGGAACGCGCTTGTCATCCGAGGATTGCGAGATGCTGTTGAGAAGGGGTACATGGACCACAGCCTCTCGACAACCTCCGTGCTGGCAGGTTTCCACTGAAGACTCCGAAGGCTGCATCAGATCGTGAATGCAAGCGCTGAGGTGTCAACCCACATAGAACTTGGATATTGCTCGACGGCCACCACAAAGTGGAGGCAGCTGCGCGTGACTCTGATGCACAACGACCGAGCTAGCGGTGCCTGCCCTCAAATCCCACTTGTATCCACTTGTGCAAGGCTTGCGATGTTCCGTGAACTTCCTCGTGTTTTGTCCCTGCGCGGAGCCGTACGAGCCGCTAAGTGACAAGGAGCACCTTGGGCGTTTGTGAGCAGAATTGTTATTCGCCTCCCTTGGCACAGTGTCAGCATAATATGTACGTATGTAAGACTTCTCTACCGGCAGAACACCCCGAGCGGGGAGGAACTTATTTCAGAACTTCCTACCCAGAACATGACTACCAACCCGCATCATACCTTTGCTTTGATCTGGTATGCCTCTGAGAAGGATGTGCATGCATACAAGCGCTTTTACGCATGCTCCCTGCCTGTTGTGCTTGCTGCATCTGGCTCCTCTTCTGATCGTCGGGTCGCTTGGTGCCTCATCGGGTTTGTTCGATTTGTCCCTGACCGACAATCAGATGACAGATAAGTCTTGCAGGTTCGGCAACATTTTTCATCAGCAGCAAAAGTGTCAGCACGGTGCCGAGTCAGACCAAGGTTTTCGCCGATCCTGGCCAGAGCTGCCACCTTCCCTCACGTTTGGCCAAGCCAAAGCAGTCCGATTGCAGAGTGGGAGGCCGGGAGTTGCCGGGTTGAATTGTTTGCTGCGCTGCACAGAGCTGCAAGAGCCCTTGGGCTCTGAGTCATCAGGTCCCCTGCCCACCCTTGTCCCAGTCTGGTGAAGTTGACAGCCGGACTTGCTTGCTTGCTCTCAACAGAGTATTATTTTCATACTCTTCCTATATTGCTGTATGCAGTAGGTTGCGAGGGCTTGGATGGGGTGTATACAATGAGGCTCCTTTCGACAAGTCATGAGCATTTATTCTCGTGTTTTGTGTTGTTTCTGCCTGGCATTTACTGGCTTTTGGGACAGCTCGCGTTGCACGCGACCGCATGCTCGCCTCTTGCTAGGTGGCACGCCATTGCGAAGCTTGGACATGCACTTCAGCGCGACAGGAACTGCTTTCAATGCCGGTTCTGAAAAAAAAAGTGTATTACGAGTGGTGCTCTTGAAGAGAAGCATTCGAAGCCTGAGTTCCGCTCAGTCCTGCGTGGCGATGCGCCTCAGCAGCTCGCGACAGCTTTCCGAGGCCTGCGTGTGTTCCAGGGTGGTGTGTCAGCTCTGATGTCGTATGTGGCTGCACAGTAGTGGAGGCCTGGATATGCAGACAAGGTTGCAGCTGCTTTGAGGCGGAGGACAACGCAGACATTTCCAGACAGGTATCACATCGGACTTTGGAGGATTTTGGAGGTACTTGTAGTGCTTATATCAGTGGCGTCCGCTCATGTTTGTTGCATCTTCAGGATGTCAATCTCTTGCTGTGCGTATCCTTGATATACTTAGCAAACGAAAACAAGGTACCATACTGTATCCAGTTTGGCTTCTGCTGCATCCTTCCGCCACTTGTTGAATTCCTGACTCAGTCCGGAACCAGCTCAACCATTTCAGGACAGTGGATTTCCCCCATGGGTCTACGGCATGCTGAGGATGATGAACAGCAGCAGAAATTCACCGAGTTCGATGAGCAACCATGGCATCAACTTTTGGGGAGCTATGATCGGATTCGATTTGGGGCAGGCCCGGCCAACGATTTTTGGACTGTTCTTTGCCGTTATGCAGATGCAGCTCGTCGTGTGAGCACGTGGCAGAAGCAGCGCAGTGTGCAACCATGCCAATTTCTGAGGTATGTTGATGGAGCGTTGCAGAAGTCGGTTCGGAGAGGAAAGTGAGCTTTTCACAACCTATCAAAATGCAGACATGGCAGCACTTCCGCAAGACCTGAATCTGCAAGTGCTGCAGGCAGCCTTTGATGCGGCATTCCTTTAATTTGCAACCCTCCATTCTGTACAGAGTCCGTGCCGAAGGCCGAAGGCTTAAATGGCCTAAGGCATGGCGGCCCAAGTCGGCAGACTTTCAGCATGTGCCGATGAGAGGCATTCGCAGGATTTCTGTGCCTGCTCTTCGACGAAGAAAGCTCGTTGACACTGCCAGGACGAGCTTGTTGCGCAAGGCTACATGCTTCGAGCATGCCGGGAGGCGCGCGCGTCTTTGCAAGCTGCATGAATTCGATGCTGCTCGGGTTTCGTTCAAAAGACCTGAAAGATTTGTGTACCTGCGAGTGGCCAACGCTTCCCTAACGATTGGGCAACGTGCCGGTGTTCCTACGAATGATTCACTCGCAAAGAAAACGCTGAACGGACCCCTCTGCTCACTGTCACAGCTCCAGTTTGCCAGGTGGCGCCAGACTACAAAAACGACACCTCACCATGTGGCTGGTACGCAATCAGTACTTTGGTTTAACCCATGCGAATCCGGGGGTCGCCCATGACTGAAGATGTGTGTCTGACGTGCTGCGAAGTGGGGCGGGTCGGTCGTGTGGGGGCCGGACCTTGCCACTAAAAGTGATGGGAACATCAAGTTGATGCAGCTCCTATAGTGTGCATCAGCGCCGAAGGCCTGTGGCAAAGCCCCACTGCGCCTAGCCAGCAAGCCATCGACACCTACGAGGTTGGTCAATGCATTGTTCAAGTTGCCATTATAGGCTGCGGCAGGCTGCGTTGGACATCTTCATGCAACTCAGTGTTTGAGTTGCGAGGAAAGAGCTCATCAAGCATAGGTAGCTGCTGCGGTTTGTGTTCATGTTCCGCCAGGTTTGGAAAGAAGGCTTCTTCTACGCCCCTCGTACTTCCAAGCATACAGTCTTGTGAATGCCTGTCTTCTTTCGTTCGGCATGTTCGGGCAAGCAGGAAATAGCAGGAAGCTCAGCTGGTGGCTTCACATGTCTCGTAAAGTTTTGAGGGCTGCTCGTGTTTCACAAGACGTGACTGCATGGTTTGTGGCTTGAAATCAGCCTCGTCAACATCTTGGGTCGTGAAATGCGCAATCCTCCGAACCAGAGCCAAAAGTCGGGGATTGCCTACGAGCACACAGTCTGCAAACGAAAGCCACTAAGACTAAGAGTAGCATGACCTCAGAGTGGTTTTGCGGTTTGGCATGCTTGCCATCGTTGACACATGTTAACATCGTGCAATGAAGACCACTGCAGCCCCGCTATTTGCCACCTTCCACCACCGTCCACAGTCCTCTGCAAGCCCCGTAAGGCATGCGAACAGAGCGTAGCTCGACACAGCGACGCCTTAGCCGACGAACTGGTGCTTGCCTTGACCTGCGATAGGCACCGGATGTGTCAGTTTCAGCAGTTTATGACCGATCATTGCAATCTCCGTCCTTGACGTTGCGGTGACGCTGCATCGACCCTCCTCTCACCCGCCGTTTCCTCCAAGGCCGGCCGGCTCCGAAGCCTCAGCCGCGAGGAGCAATGGAGAGAGCTTGTGCTGGGAGCGCGGAGTCATGCCAACTCGAACAATGTTTGTAACTCGGGCTGTCAGAAGAGCTGTGCCGATCTTCCGCTGCATGTCCTGGTGCGTGTGAGAGGTCATTCCTGACACAGGGATGTCAATCCCCCAAAATGTAAGCAGGTATGGAAGGTCTGAGGCTCAATCTCTTCTGCCTCCTGAAGTTTGTTTAGACCTTTGCAAAACCCAGAGCCCGATGAGGAGCAGAATCTGACACTTATCGCGGAGGAGGTTCCTGTGCAGTTGTGTTTTGTTTAATCTAGATTACATAGCGTTTTAATTCGGGTGGCCATAACTGACCCAGGCCAATGCAGGTCCTCGTCAGATGGCAGCAAAACCCCTGGCCCAGCAGGTCTGCAAGACGACGGCCGCATGCGGGCACAAGAACAAAGCAGAGGCGACATGGCTTCATTGCTGCTTCATTGCTTCAAGTTTAGTCCGGTGCCGGCATCCTCCGCCAATGCCGCCATGCGTCTGCCACACCGCCTGGCATACCCTCACAAGCCACAAAAACGCGGTCTTCCAGGTGCTGCCCACGAAGGATGGAGGCAACTGCCGTGGTGTTGTCATCACAGACTGTTAAAGCTCTGCCAGCGGAGTCACGCACTTGCCACAGGAAATGCAGCTGGTGCCCCAAAGAAGCCGGGCAAGAAAAAAGCTGGCAAGGGAAAGGCTGGTGTGAGGGGCTGCTTAATTCTGAGCCAGCAACTGTTTTGCAATGTTGCACCTGGACTACGTGAACAAAGCCGAGACCCATTGAACATTGTGGAATAGTCCGGCAGTCAGACAGCGAGTGCGAACTCGGAAGAGCAAGCATGTCAGGCTCTGGAGTCGCACTCGGCATGCGCGAGGGTGCGACGGTTGGCACCGGGGTTCAACTTTTGGACGCCCATGCCTCGCAGGCTGCGAAGAAGGAGCTGTGAGTCGCCATGCGCTCTCACGCATAGTCGGAGTCGGGAGGGCCGCAAAGATCGACCCGAGATCCTGACGATGTCGCATCAGCCAACAAGGCTGCCTCGAGCTTGGTAAGCGACAAAAGACGTTGACAACCTGCTGCTTCCGTGGTGGTTGCACAGCTCAGCAGACAGCCATACTGCGAGCGCGACCATCCTTCTCCCTGAACCTCCAAGTTCTGCTTACTGGTCCTCTTGTCGTTGCCAGTCAGGAATCCAGGAAACTCGGCTCGCAGGGAACAAGAGCATGACATTGAGATTTGCTACAGTTGAACCCCGACTTTGCCACCAAGGGTGCAGAAAGGGTATCTGTATCTCAATCTTGAACACTCAGCTTATTCAGATCCACGCCGCCGAATCTATGGAAGGCGGTCGTGTGGAGAAGAAGGCGCGCATCAACATGCTGCATGTGCATGCATGTGCATGCAGATGCAAGCTCACTTACTCAAAGGCAGTCTGCTTTTGTGCCCGTGCACGGTGCAAACTGCGGTGACATTGCGTTGCGCTATTGGCAAGTCTCAAGTCTGTTGACGTTTCTGCTTTTTCCCTTTGTCCAGGCTCCCAAAGTCACTAGGTTGACCTCTGGACCCAAACAGGTCGTCCGGCCTGAGAGCTCTCAGGGTAGCTGCGACGTGCAGTGTCATGCCCATTCTCTCCCGTTTTGAAGTCATCGACGACCTTGAGGCACCTCAGCATATGCCACCGCGGCCTCAGGAAACAGATCCACACTTAACGGGACAGGATCTTCTGCTCGGAACTGTTACTAGTAGCGTACATATGTCGAAAGTTTTACGTAGTGCTCCTTGAGAAAAACTTGGTGATCCTGCAGACACAGCATGCGACCAAAGGAGCTCACCAGTTGCGACAACTGCTTGGATGGCAGGTGTGATATGACAAGCCCAGGAAGCTCTCAAGCTAGGGCGACTACAGGTCTGCGGTTGCATAGGGAGACATGAGGAGGTTGACTTTCATCGCCCAAAGACGTTGCGAGGGGGCTTTTCTGCCTGCAGCTCTTCAAAACATGGCGTCCAGGTCGATGGCGTGAACGGGACAGCCCCGCCGGGAATCTCAGCAAGCCGGGCCTAGTTTGCATACTACAAGAAGCATGTGACGCTAGTGCTGCACAGGTGCATGGGCTCCAACGGAACATGTACTGAGACATGACTCTGAGGCCAATCTACTTGGACTACAATGGTCCGCCGCCAATTCCTTGTTTTGAGCTCGTATGCAACTGCAGCATGGGTTAACTTGTGGCACTTGATCAAGATCTGAGAGGTGGCTTTCGTTACAGGCTTGTTTTCTCAACGACGGTTGTTGTGTCTGATCAAGGTACAACGCCGATAGACAAGGAGGTATGTGCTGCGATGGCCACGATGATGTCAGGGGCCCATGCTAGCCATGAATTCCGAATCTTAGTGCCCAACAAGATTTTTGTCTCGAATCTGTCAACTTGGCCAGCCAAACTAACGAGAGATTCGCATGACAGCAACAGACAATCGCAGCTTTGCTTTGGCGCAGCATCAGGAGCACGCACTGGGGAAATCCGTCGTCCTCCCATTTCTACGGCATTCAGGCCACATTCTCGTGAATTTGGAATACACTTGTGGAGCCCGGCGCCAGCATGGCTGCGGTTGGGATTGAACTTGCACCGCTTCATCGGGAATCAGAGTAGACAAATTCGGCGATATGCTGTTAAGGGTTTGATCCGCTAAGAAGGCACTGAGCGAAGGAAGAGGGAACGACGCTGTCACCGATCAGCCAAAACCTGGGTGGTGACCAAGAGTCGGAAACCCCCCTTCCAAGCAAAGCAAGAACCGGATTATGTGCTTCAAGTTGCGCACGTGTCATGTATCAGGCACACGAGACACAAACTGGAGTGCCGAAATGGAGCTTTTTCTTGGCAAGCCATCCTCGGGACCTCTCGTGTAGGGAATCTGAGGAAAAACCCTACCCAGAAGGCTTTAGGGTTGCGAGGGCCGTGCGAGGAATCCATGAGGCCACAGGGAAAACCCAAGCAAGCCGGCACTTGCAGGTGCGTGGGCCTCCCCTTTGCTTCAGACAGACCTTAAGAGCTCGAAAACCTGTTGCCTTGATCTGTGCAACCGTCCTGTGTGGACCGTGGCCACTTGCTTGGGCGGAACGTCCCGGCCGAGCAGACTCGCTACTCCAGTCATCCGGTGAGGGCCCGTGCAAAAAACGACGCCTGCTGCAGACTGGCAGACTTGCTCCGTCTGATCTCGCGGCGCCCTTCTTGCCGGCATGGGTACAGATGCTGTTTCTGAGCGGCGGCTGCGGTTGGAGGCATCAACGCCATGGCATTCGACGCAGCGGTAAGAAGTGTATGGTGTGCGCGCCTTTCCCTCCCAGGCCGAACAGGAAATATCGAGTATGAATAAAGTGCACGCAACACACCTTGCACAGGCCAAGAAGGCGTTGGAAACTGCAAGGAGGCCGAATTGCTTGTGGGACTCACATGCCCAGCTATGAGAATTAAAGGACGTACTGTAGCAGCACTCGTTACGACAGCCCCGTGGCCTATTGGCCGCGCATCCAAGTACTCGGCAGGCAGTGCGCAGAGCTCATCGGGGCCGAGCCAGGATGTTTGTCCGCTTCACATGTCACAAGACGAAGATTTGAGTGGTCTCGGTCAGTCCAAACACGCACCAATTGTCACAAGAGGAACCTGTCATGGCCCGCGAGTGTTGCTTGCCTGTGACAAGCTTGGGCTCAAGAGCCCCTGCCCGATAGCACCAGAGTGTGCTTGGGCCAATGAAGTCTCCAGCGCCATGCTGGCTGCCGGGGTCCCGGGACGTTTTGGCTGTCAGCTTTGAGCTTGTGTGTGCTTTGCTTTCAAAGCTTTCAGTTGACTGTGTAGTGGAAGTTCGCCTGGAAATGTCGTGTTGGCTTCGAGGTTGGTGATGGCTGCCATCTTTTGGGAGGTCGACACGCAAAAATCCGCATTCTGGAGGCTTCAGGCTGCTAGGCTTTGTACCTGAGCAGGCAGCGGCTCTGGCGCCAGCTCGGACGGCGGTTGACACGAAGCGTGTAGCCGACAGCATCAAGCACGACGAGGTGACAGCAAACAGCGACGAGGACGACGAAGGCACACCGGAGATCTGAGTCGTGAGGTTTGTGGGGTCAGTGCTCGGGAGACGAGCCCTCCTTTGTTAGAGCTGTCCGGTCGATTCCCCCGATCAGGCGATGAGGATGATGATGAGGAGGAGGGCGAGGAGGATGTGGCCAAAAATTCTTCGGCCCCGCTCCTCGGACGAACTTAATCTACGGTCGAGCTCCGCAGAACGTACGATATCGTACGATGGCATGTTGCATGAACGCCCAGGTTGGCTTTGACTCAGTCTTCTTCAAAACCGCTCAGCGGCTCTGTTGGAAGCAGGGTTTCCTGAAAGGAGACGGCCCAAAGAGGACTGCAGCTTGCGTTGGCCAGGTGACTGTTTTGACCTGTTCCGCACCAGTAACTTGACCAGTCATGAGCCATTGCTGGCTTTCGGGATCTGTCGCATTTTAATGACAATTTGTCCACGTTGCCGGCTTTCACTAGTCTCGCGACGAGGGCATTCTAGACTTTGTGCTTCTGGCTGAGGTCCTACGTCGCCAAAGGCCATGCATGCCCTGCCGGCCAACTTCGATGCGACTCGTTGAGGTTTGAGTCATGGGGCTCGGAACCTGTGGGACGGCTTTGCCATCCGAGCACCGTGTTGTCCCACAGTCAGCCTGTTAGCCTCATGAAATGTCTCAGGCGATATCCTTCTTGGCAGAGACCGAGACGGCCGAGGTCATTGCTCCATCGCACCCAGATGACGTAGCACAGTCGTTTGTTAAGCCGACAAGGGTCCCGTAAATCAGCGTAGCAGCAATGTTGCACATCAAGGCTGCTTGGCACAACTGTGTGTGTGTGTGTCTTCCAGTGTGATTGTAGACTACTGTAGCACGATGCAATATCATTTGTGACGATGCCAAGTGTATGTGCCACAAGTGCGTTCACAAGCCCCCTGCCCTATTCCCGCTACTGTCCTGCATCTGAAACAGGAGGCAGCTTCAACAGCTGAGTCGGAAGCTATGGTGGCAGAGGCCATGTCTTGTGACTGGGGAGATTTAAAAAAGCTCGTTCCTGCGCCTCAGGCTGCGGCAGCACGCTCCGCAGCGCGACTCCGCCGTGCGCAGTTGCGTCAAGCGGCCGGTGGAAGCGAGGAGGCAAAATGCCGGCATGGAACTGAAAGCTCTACTACTGTAATTCCCCTCAGACTGTCATCCAAAAGCCAGGTTCCGAGACTGACCCATCGTGCGTGGTGTTGCAGTTGCAGTGATGACCTTTTTGTTTTCACCTCTGTTGCAGGATCGTCAGATTGCGGAGACTTCGCTCCATGCAGCACAGACTGCGTGGCAACAGCGAGCACCGCGAGCCCGCCAGTTGACCGTTGGGGCCGCCTGGCACAACTCTGAGTGCGGCGAAGTTCTGGAATCGAGAATCGCATCATCCCCAACCTAATGATGTTCGAAATTTGGATGGGCCACGTTTGCAAGTCCATCGTCTAAGCACGAGAATGTAACCGAAGAGGGTACTGCCGTGCTCTTGCTTCAACAGTCTGCATGAAAGCTGTCGGAGGCCCGTGAAGCCCGCAGGGCAGCACGCAAGCGTGCTGAGGAGGCGAGGAAGTCGGGTGTGGGCTGTGGGAGGCGAGGAATGCCGGTTTCTCTTCAAAAAACTGTCGTTTCTGTGCCATCACATATAGGCCAATCAACAGTAACATGTCGGAAAGACAGCAAGCTCACCCGCACCCCTCGCCTTCGTTGCAGGTCAGCCCGAATCTTGGGGCTTCGTCATTGCTCCGCCCCTCTGCTACCAAGAGTCAGGAGTTTGTCGTCAGCTGTCGGATGTCTCTGGGGACTTCAAGCCTCGTGGGGTGCAGCATGTCCTGAGAAATTTCGCACAACATTGCCTTCTTTTTGGCGATGTTGAGTGCGTCTGGGCCTCTCAACTTGCCGAGGTACTTTCGGCCCGGACAACTGCGTTTCGACATGGCGCGATGCGAGACTTGATCAGCACTGCAGTTAAGTTTCGGCAGCACTGCATTCTCAGCAGTGCCCGGTTTCCCGGGGGAGCTGTGACTTGCCACCGTAGCATCTTAGCAGAGTTCATTGGCTGTTATCCCTTTCCTTGGTCCGTCTTCCGGGTCCGAAGGAGCTCTGGGACTTGCTTCCTGAAGACGGACTGCCGGATGCCTGGATTCTTCATCCGTCGTCAGGTTTAGGACCTCGTACTTCTCCTTTCTCTCGACCTGTCCGAGGGCCTACCAAAGAGTGTTGTCGGTTATCAGAGCAACGGAAGACAACATGGATGCTTCCCACCTGTTGATGCAGGGCCCTGCATTGCTTCGACCCTGAGGCGAAGGTGTGCAGACGTTCGACTTGTTTGATGTAGGCTTTCTCTGCGAGAATACCGACCAGGCAGGAACATGTCGCACATTCTCAGTTCTTGCATCAGCTTGAGAGCCTTGGGTTGTCTTCTATCCGAAGGGTTTGCTTTCCTCGTCCTCCCGTACCTGCTAGCGTTGCGTTCAGCTTTCCCGTATGCTCCTCATCTTGGTAAGGAGCCAGTCGAGCACCGCTTTGGCACCAACTCTTACGCGAGAGTCGAGGTGCAGGCAGGGTGGACCTTGTGTGTGGGAGTAAAAGGGCATTGACACTCCGACCGAAGTTCGGGCTCTGAGGTTATACATCTTTATATAGATGTAAATATATTTGATACATTCATATTTAACACATCTCCAGACAGTTTTATGCACACTTGTTTTCATATACACACACATATATATATAGAGATATCTATGTATATATATATATATATATGTATACAAACATATGAATTCACATGCACAGTTGCATGCAGTAAGTTCAAGCCAACTGCTGCATGTAGCTTGTACAGGCTATGGAATCCAGGTATCGCGATGTACGGAGTCCCGACATGTTCTTGACATTCACTCTTGCCTGTAACATCTATCACGAAGCTCGCTGTGCTTGCCTGGCAAAGGACACCGCCGTGGCATGCGAGCGCTGCATGCCGACGCAGGAGACCTTTCGTTTCAACGCGTAGCGAGCTCTAGGCTCTGGCTTAGAACACTTCGTGTCCGGGGACCAGCCGCAGGATGGTATTTACGGCATCTCACAGCACACGTCACTCGTAGCATCTTCATTTCAAAACGATTAGAGGTCACTGGTGCTGGTGCGCCAGTCCATTTGCTGCAGCAGTGCAACGTCTGAGTCCAACCACCCGCAGACTTGCTACAGGAAAAGCAACAGACGGCGCAGAGCCTGTCGCAGGAGCTAGCATGGCCGCAGAGATTTGCAAAGCTGTCCCAGCCACTGCCATTGTCTTGAACTTGCACTGCCATTGCCAGGAGATGAGTGCCATGAAGCAGTCCCTGGCTAAGGTTTCTCAAACCTTTGTGAGCCTCAAAGACAAGGCTTCCGAGCTCCTTCGCTGATCTTATCAAGTACGTTTGCGAGCAAATCAGATCCTTGCTCTCAGAACTTAGGGCCAAATATGGGTCCACATACTAGTCATGCGTGAGCTGTGCACGTACGAGAATCTTCTTGCGCAGCTCCAGTCGTGGCGTCTCAGCGTTTCACTATACGTAATCAGACACTGCAAGCCACCGCGCGGACAAAGCAGAGAATCTCGGCTCTCGGGCGTCCATCCTCTTTGCAGGCGTTTGCCTCGATCCCTGTTGTCGATGTGATGTCGAAAGGAGAGATCACCTTCATGTCGAACGGAACCGAGACCATCAACCAAGCAAGTCTCCAAGATCGCTTCCATGCCGTTTCAGTCAATCCCAGATCCTATATACAAAAGACCTGGGGTCTGGGCCCCCCGGAGGCCTTGAAAGGCTTGGCCGACATCGGCGAGAAAGAAGGCGAAGCGGGAGCCAGTTCGGGTAGGGACCTGTTGGGCATCGCGTCGAAGCCTGCACAGACACCTACACTTGCACATGCGCACACGAAAGCAAACACACACACACACACACACACATTCGTGCAATCCTCCCTCTGATAGTTACTATAATCGAGGTGAAGATGTACAGCCACCAGGCAGGTTGAGGTTCTTGGCTTGGCCTCATCGCCATATTGCTGAGAAAAATGCATATCACTCTAATGCAGGTACGTCTGGCTGATCAGGCTAGATATCACCATGCACTGACAGTGCCTTCGTTGGGCAGTGACTGTCAGGCATGCACTGCCCCCCTGCTTTTAAGAGCGATCCCTTGGTGACAGGGTTTCCCACACTTACTTACTTACTTACTTACTTACTTACTTTTCTCTTCAAGACGTCTCGCACAGGCAGAAGACACTTCATCACACAGGCTGGCTGGCTTTCTGATCAAGGGAAGAAAGATTTTGCACAGCATTGTTGTCCAGGCCACGGAACATGTGGCGGTGCTTGAGGTCGTGGCCTCGGCGCTGAGGGTCCAAGTCTCTGCAACTCGAGTGTTCACGTGTCCGCAGATGCCGCAGGTCTGCCACGCCTTGGAGCAGCGAGGCTGCAAGGTGCGGGGGCGCAGCGGGCATGCATGTAGCCACTCGCCACTCAAAGCTTCTCGTTCCGGAATGCTCCGCAAAAAGCGAGTCAAGTGATTGCAATGGCAGGTAACAATTCTTCCTGTAGACGCCGAAGGCCGAAAACATGCGCGACTGTCAAGCTCAAGCTTTTGCAGTGCCTGTGTTTGTCCCTGGAGCGTGGCGTACACTAAGTGAAGTGGTGAAGCAAAATGCTTTCGCGCCGCGCGTCGGACTTGTTTCGGCCTTGTTTGGGCCTTCAGGCCTGGTGAACCCGGCTGCCGTGGAGGTGGGCTCCGACAACATGTGGAAGCGAGCCGCGAGTCTCGGAGAGCTATAGATGAGTGGCACTATAGAGTATAGAGTCTGGACGAGCGGTTGCCGCGACTGTCCCCTGGGCCGCGACGTCGCAGAGCCCGCGAGAGACGGTCTTCTGCCTCGAAGGCAGCGATGACGCCTCAGACGATTTGCATTAGCATCATGTGCCTTGGCGTGGTGTTGTCCAGAGTTTACAAATGCACACAGACGCTTAGCTGGAAGACCTGGATCGAGCTATTCCTTGCTGGCCAGGCATTCCAACAACGAGACGGGTGCTCTTCAGCCGGTTCAAGAGATCGCTGCAAGAGCCAGGTGGCCGTTCTTGATCCGACGAAGCCTTGAGCCAACATCTTCCATGGCAGGAAAGCTTCGCACAGCGAATTGAACTCAGAGTGCTTGTGCTTGTGTTTGTTCAACCTGGTCTACCTCGGTTCATCCGGCACGTCCGAGCCAGCCAAAGGTGTATGTGCACTGCGATGCTTCACAGAAGCTTGGCCGAACCGGGCAGTTGGTGTAATTCCAGTGTTGCACGTTGCAGATGCTGGCTTTGGCAGCTTTGCTGTCCCAGACAGCTGAGCCCTCCAAAAGAGCTTTGCCTCGGGTTGCGCAGCCAAGAGCTCTGCGAGAAGTGCTCCTCGCACTGTACTGTGGGATCACACGCTCAGGAGCTTGGGCAAGCTGCCGGTGAATGTGGACGAGCCCCCGACTGCATGTCTTGAAGCCCAACTCTTTCCTGAAACCTGCCGTGCTCACTGGACTTGCGAATCGATACTCATTTCACGATAGATGTGTTTGATGCATGGGAATAAGCATCTTCTTCCAAAGATTGAGGTGGATAGGGATAGGAAACTGGTCCTTCGGGGAAGAGGGAATCGGGTTAGATTGAACAATCGGTGAACAAATCACTTAGCCTCGCGGTTCCCAGGTCGGTGTTGTGCAGCTTGTTTGAACTGAGGCTTGTTCTGTTTGTGTGTGTGTGCGTATAAATGTGTATAAACATCAGCGCACATTGTTATTGTTCGGGCATGGATGCCATAGTTTTCGAACGTGCTCGAACGTGCTTGTTGTTATTTTGTCCCGTCATCGAAGCCCTGGTGTTCGCTTGCACTTGCAAACGGACTTGTTGATCTAGACATCAGACATGCATGCGCTTGTTCGCACTCTGGCACATGGACTTTGGTTGATCTTGGTCGGCATTGTGTGCACATGGGCAGTATGGGTTCTGGATGCACGCGCAAATGCTATGCCATGCTTGATGTCTGCGTTAGACGCAGGAGTGTTGTGCGATGTTCTATGCATCATGCCTGGTGGTTACATCAAACCTGGGCGTACTCATTGGCATCCTGCTACAGTAGGTATATTACAGCTATGAAGTTTCATGAACCCTCTTTGCTCCTATTAGCCTATTGTCATTCGGCTAGATTTCGTCGGCCTAGGCTTGCCCCTGACGTCGTAGTTGCTCACATGAAGTAGCCCAAGTTGCTCAACGAACTCGGACGCCTCGCCCGGATTGCCCAAGCTGTGAGAGTCGAAGTTGCGCACGCGGTGAAGCGCCAGGCTAGGGATTGACCTGCTGACGATCGCCGGCCACAAGCTCTATGCGCCGAAAGGTGTTGGTGTGGCCCAGATGCATCTGGAGTGCAAGTTTGGCAGGCAGGCAGCCATGGATGCCATGGCAGGGGTCGGCCATGCCATTGTCCTTGAAATATGCATTCCGCTGGCCAGCTCAGGCCCTCTACAAACGCTCGACAGTACCGGCCGCAAGCCGAGATCGAGTAGGTACTCGTCTTCCCGTGATGCATCGTAGTTGGTGTGTCTCTGTTGTTGTACGTACAGAGCTTTGTGGGCGCAGGTGCAAAAGGCTGGCAGAAAACCCCGAGGCAGATTAGCAGATCAGGGCGTTGCAAAAAGAGCAAGGTGGTGGATGGAACACACAAGAGGTGCCGTTCGAAAGCAGTTGGAAAGGTACATCCAGCCAGTCCAAAGTGCTCTGCGAAATACATCGAAATGCAGGGCCCCAGAGGCTTCGGACTCCAGCACAACCGCGTCATGGCAGGAAGCCTCCAAACTGAAATTTCAGGGACGCCCCGCATTGATGGTGACACTCACGGTTTGCCTAAGAAAATCAGCCTGCCACGATTTCTGTTTTCCTTTCACAAAAAGGTCGACCAGGTGCTGTCTCTGTCGCTTCACTATATAAGCTGGACTTGATGCCACGCCGACACGAGGACCTGCCGGCCTTGCTGCATGGAGCCGGCCAGGCCCCTCGACTGCAGCAAGCTGCCACTGGATGTACTAAGGTAATAAGGGGTGGGGGGGGGGTGAGTGTTTCTTTGGGGTGGAATTGTGACGGGTTGCAAGTTGCCATCCAATGCCCACTTTTCCAAATCGGCCTGCCGAGCGTGCGGCTCAGTTCGTCTAAGCCGGTCAAATCGACACCTGAAGGCCCTTTCCATGCTTGTCTCGAAAGACCCAACTGTAACTGAAGGAATCTGGGCGTCGGGCAAGCCGGACCCTCATCTCTTCACTGCCGGGGCATCGAGTCAGAACCAGGGTACTTGTCGCTCCAGTGTCATGACGGCCAGGCACAGAGAATGTGATCCACATCGTTGGGCTCGGCGAGGCGCTTTGTTGCTGTGCCACTTGCAACACCCCGCAGCTACTAAACAAGCTTCTGCAGAAGTCGAGACTTCCCGTGGCCAGCCTTGAATGTTTGCAATCAGACACATGCGCCGTCAAGGTCGCCCCAGGCCTGTGCCACGAAACCGAAGCATGACCACTGTAGACCAGCATGGCAGTTGAGCGCAAGCCAACCTGTCAACCTGAAGTCACGGCATCTTATCAGGTCGGTATTGTGTGAAGCCACCCAGCACTCCCCTCGGCAACGGTTGGGAAGATTGTCGGAAATGCCAGGGATGCAGTGTACACAGATGTGACAGGCATGCAGGTCCCCCCACCTGTGTCCTAGACATCGCCTGAGCTTCTCGAGCGCGAGTACTAAAGACCAGGCATGCAGGATTGCGCATCGGGACCTGGAAAAGCGTGGCCCTCAAGCTGCTACTGTTGTGCGCGAAGCGGATCTTTGTCAGACAAGCGGATGCACAGTGTCGACATGCTTTTCAAGCTCAGGAACGCGAGACACATGCGCCAGATGAGAGACAGGCCCGCCGCAATTCAAAACTTGTTGGACGGGGTATCTGGGAGATTCCGGCACCATGTGTGAGACAGGCTGCATGACCAGCTTTCGAAGCGCATCTTGCCTTTGTTGAGTTAAGCTGCTGTTTTCTGTGAATCGCTTTCGCTCTGGAGACTGCGAGTTGTCTTCAAGTCAGGTTTGGGCTCCAGGGTCCGGGCCCCAGGCTTTGTCTCAACAGCGTCCTGCATCGCAAGCCGCCGCTTTGGAGGCCCATTTGATGCGAAGAAACGGTCCGAGTGAGGCGTGGCGACTACAGCAAAACGCAGCGAGGGTTGGAACACGAAGCTTTAGAGCGGCCGTGGTCGGATGAGCTGTGGTCAGCTGAGGATGTTTGTGACGTTGTGCTTGCAAGTTGCGAGTTTTCAGGCAAGATTGCCGAATACCCTCTCGGCTTCCTTTTACAAGGCTTCGCCGAAGTTTTCTGCATGCTATGACTGCAAGCAGACACAGCGCTGCTTCACGGTGTTCCTTCGTGACCGCAGGTAGAAGCAAATACACTGCTGTCGGAGGCTTCCTGCCCAGCTCGGATGCCACAAAGTCGCCATAAGTTACAATACAAGTTGCAAGCGTTTCTGCCTGTTCTTGTGCCCGGGGCTCATCGGATGCCCCCACAGAGCAACTGTTCCCAGCTTCCTGGCAGCTCCGTAGACCTATATTGGACTTCGGACAGCGAACAGTCAGAGGTCGGCGATGATGTTGCCGCTTCTGCCGGAGCAGCATGCCACAGCAGCTAGACAGATGAGGTATTCCGTGTTTGGTCTTCCGTGGCCTACTCTGCCGGTTGATGTGTGCTGTCGACAGCTTGAGGCGATGAGGTGCACATGTCCCACGTTCTGGAGGCCTAGCGGGGGGAAAGGCATGTAGGCATGTCGAGATCCGAAGCCTCACCACGCCAGTGTCGCCAGGCCATGGGGGTGAGCAAGGCTGGAGCCTCAGTGTGTTTTGGAAGAGCCCGGATTTTCCATCGCGACAAGGAGTGGGCCATGGGAACCTGCCGCTTCACTGTCGGCAGAGAGACAACGCCTGCCGAGGTGCAGACTGTTCATGGTCCTGGTACTCACTACCTACAGTTTCGATTGCATCCAACAGATTCGGCACCGTGAAATAGAGGAGTCTGCTGCCCGTGGCTTGAAGAGCACACTTGTGCTGCAACACTGCGGGCGCATCCAGCTACAGAAGCGAATTTCCATAGTCGGGACGGTTGGCCCTGGGGCTGGGGGAGTGGAAAATTTGCCGGGTGTTCGCTAGGCTGGGTTGTGGTGCCAAGGGACAGATTATCGCAAAATGCTCTGGGCAGGGCTGGGAAACAGACTGGCCGAGAAGCAGCTGAAGCAGTGCGAGGGAAATCGCAACCACCCTGGTTCTGTAAGCCCGCGTGGCATTTTGACGATGCAGTGCATCTATACTATATACCCAAGCCCTACGACGTTTGCCCTACCAGAACCAAATCTGTACTCCTCAGATCGACCGGGCTGCTTTGATCATCGCGTCCGCGGTGTGCAGGCGAGCAAGTCTGGCGACTGCCTTTTCTTTTCCTGCTGATTTTGATGCTTCAGCCAGCGTCTCCAGTGCAGCCTTTAGAATCCAGGAGCTTCCAGCGAAACACTTCCTGTGGGACTGTTGCAAGCCTGTGGGTTATCCCGCTTCGGACACCCAAGATTCGCGAGCCCTAAACAGGGCAGCGTAGTACCTGACCTAAAACTTGAACCGCGCAGCTTGAAGCTGAAAATGTCAGGCTCATGCCGTCGGAGAATGGTGGCGAGGCTGAGCTTCAGTTGCGACCTCGTGGAGTGCTTTGATGCACACGCCCGGAGGCCCAAGATGAT